GCCCAGCATCTGCGGCCGCGGATGGATGTTCATGGAGCGCCGCCGTACCAGACACTGCCGCCGCCGCCGCCGCCGCCGCAGCAGCAGCAGCAGCAGCAGCAACAACAGCAGGTTTACCTGCAATCTCAGCCTCAGGGCCCTACGTCTCAGCAACCTCCTCAACCTCCTATGATGACAAGCTCGCACTCTCGACACCCCAGTTTGTCGGCAGCTCCAGGCTCCCCGGCGCAGGCGATACCAAAACACACGCCCGAGGCCTCTCCTATCCGTCGCTCCTCATTTGGTCAACAGCCTCAGTCATCATACTACCCGTATTCTGGCCCTCCGGCGCCCCCGATGTCGCAGCAACCGACTCCTGTACTCTCACCGTCCAAGGAACCGCCAAGACAGAGCTCGACACCGGCACCGCCACCGGAGCCTCCTCGTCAAGTCCCGGCAAAGCGTTCCAACATCATGAACATCCTGAACGACGAGCCAGAGGAGCCCCAACCGCGAAAGCGATTCGTCAGCGAACAAGTGACGGCCTCCCCTGGATATGCAGGAACCCAGTCATTACCTCAGTCTGGTCCGTCGTTACGCGCCGAGGAGCCCCCTGTGTCGGCTGCGCCGCAGAAACCTTATCTGCCTACTGGCCAACACCAACCTCATCTTCAACCATCTCAGGCACCCTCTCAAGGGCCCTCATCACAGCCTCGAACCTCCTATTCAGAGTACCAAACCTACCAGCCAGCGGTGGGGAGCTCATCCAGTACTGGACCTCCCAACCACGAGTGGGTGGCGAGATTCGACCCCAGAGGTCAATCGCAGCAGCAGCAACAGCAGCAGCAGCAGCAACAACAGCAACAACAAGCTGACCAAGCTGGGCTGCGTTCGACCGCTCCGTCGTCAACGTTTAATAGTTACGCGCCTGCGAGCAGCCAACCTCCGACACCTTCGCCAGCCCCTCCACCTCACAGACCGAGCTATCAGCCCAGTTTCCCGCAGGCTCCGCCACCGCATTCTCAGGGCGCGCCTACACCGCCACCAACGAATCCAGCTTATCGTCAGGCTGCGTCTCCGACTACTCGTCCCAGCGTGCTCTCATATAGCTCTCGTCAGGGCCCGCCAACACCTTCACAGTCGCCTGCTTCCTCGCTGAACATTCCTCCACCTCGTCAACCGTCTTCCTTTAGTCCATCCATGCAGCACCCGTCTGCCCCTTCTTCGCATCCGATGGGACCACAACACCGTCACAGCAACAGCGGCCATCAGAGCTATCAGCAACACGTCCAAGCTATGGTGAGTGGATCGCATCAGCAACAGCAACAGCAACAACAGCCACAACCGCCTCAACACACGCAACGACCGTCCATAGGTATCCCCGGGAGCGTACCTTTTGGCCACAGCACGCCTCCACCATCCCAACAGGGTGGACCTCGACCGGGCGGTCTGGGTGGAGGGCCACCACCACCGCTGAGCATGGGTCGACCGTACACTCCACCGGCACCCACGCTGGGCGGAATCCCGTATCCGGCAGGACACCACAATTCATACGGCCGTCCCTCGCAAGGTGCGGATAACGGTGGCCCTGGGCCTGGTCATCATCGTGTCTACAGTCAAGGTAGCAACCAGGGTCCACTAAGATGACTCGCAGAGAGGACATTTGATTTGGCAGGTTACAGGGAACGTTAGTGAATATGATTGGGAATGGATTTATCGATTTTTCTGGGGCATGACGGACCGGGAGGAGATCTTTTCAAGGTGGAGAATATACTTTGTGTTTGTATGGATGATCCTGTCGTCCGATTGTTTTCCTTCTTTCTCTGTAATTACATACATTACATTATACGATGCAGACCCGCCGGGTCGGGATGCTTCTGTACTCTAAATCAAGACACGTTCGTTCATTCGTTCGTTTGTTGATTCTATTCTAGTTTTGTCACGATTCTGGTTGTATGTATGTATATATGTATGTTCTAGATACATGCTCATGCGAATATATATGTATGAGTTCGATCATGGATTTGAAAATTCAATTCAGCATAAGTCAACATTCGGTCGTTGCCATATTTCTCGTACGTAGGCGGATTTCGTGCATGTTCTTCCTGGCTATTTTTTTTCTTTTCTTTTCTTTTCTTTTACTAACCATATGATAACTCTTAGAATATTAGAATATATTCTAATCTCATGTTCAGGTATGTATGTATGTATGTAGTATGTACGTAGTATAATTTCTTCTTCCAATTCTTACCTTGATTTCTGTATCAAAGCGAAGTGAAGTGAAGCAAAGCAAAGCAAAACAAAACAAAATGTGAAGAGAAAGGAAGAAACAAACAACAGGCAACAACGGGAGTTTGAATCAGTTAATTAACTAAGTAAGTAATATGTTAGACATTCATTTATTCCTACTAAATAAAGCAAGATTATCATATAGCAGAAGGACAGGCTTAAAATAGATATAGTAAGCTTTCTAATACTTTATTGTTAACAGGATTAAGCTAAATAGGTGGTTTATATATATATCTTTGCAGGTATTTACTCTGTATTATTTAGGAATATATCTAACATGATGATAGACACTTGCCTGCTATTTAGTAGAAGCGAATTCATTTATTTATTTATTTAGGTGACCATAATTCAGACAGATTAGGTATGTACAGGTCATGTAAACGTCCTCATATTCTTGATAATGTGGACGTATAATTTATTTTTATTTTTCTTCTTCTTGTCTTTTTTTATTGTCATAATTCTACCTTTTTTATCCTACTGTTCTAGGGTTGAAGTGCTGTGACGTGAGCGGATCGATCGATGCGGCGAACCAAACTTTGACTTTACAAGCTCCATTCCAATTCCATCAGCTTTCAGCTGCATCGACCAACCTCGCCTCACCTGCCCTCATCCACCTCCGATCGACCAACTTCTCCTGCCTCTGCTCACCGCTCGATGCAATCACTATCCTCTGGGTGTATGCCTGAGTGTCTGCACAGAGCTCTGCTCTGACGTGCTTCGCCTGCTTGCGCGTTCTGCATACGCGCCTTGGTCGGAGATTCACTTCATCGGAGATGCCCTGATGCGACTGACGGCCAGCTTAATTCCCGATAGACTGTCCTAATTATCATACCGATCTGATCGCCGCGTCAGCTCTTGATTGCTGATATTTTTCTGCCGCCATGTCTGCGCACTACCAGACCGAGCCTCCCCCCACCGCGTCCGCCACCTTGATCACCACCGTCGGACCGATCCACATCTCCCTCTTCGCGAAACAAGCTCCTCTCGCCTGCAAGAACTTCTTACAGCACTGTCTGGATGGATACTACGTGGGCACTTCCTTCCACCGCGTCGTGCCGGGCTTCGTCATCCAGGGCGGCGATCCCACGGGGACGGGCTCCGGCGGGTCGTCCATCTACGAGGACCCCGAATTCGAGTACGACCCCTATGGCCGCGATCCGAACGAGAAGGTCGTCTTTGGGGATGAGTTGCACAGCCGGCTGCGCTTCAACCGTCGGGGAATGGTGGGCATGGCCAAGAGCGAAGACGGCACCTACGGCAGTCAGTTCTTCATCACCTTGGCCAACGCCGAGCGCGAGCTGAACGGCAAGTGCACGCTGTTCGGCCGCGTCGAGGGCGACAGCATCTACAACGTTGTGACTATCGCGGAGGCGGAACTCGTCGAGGGCACCGACCGCCCCGTCTACGCGGTCAGGATCACGGGAACCGAGGTGGGCGAGTTGGGTCCGTTTGCGGGCAAGTTGAAGAAGCGAGAAAAGGTTGCCGTTGCGGAGCCAGAAAAGGCCCCGACAGTGAAGAAGAAGAATAAAAAAGGGAAGAGTGGGAAAGCGTTGTTGAGCTTTGGAGCGGACGAGGAGGCGGAAGGCGATGAAGAGGTGGTGAAAACGTCGAAGCCCAAATTCAACACGAAACTCGTTGCCGATGTCGAGACGGTGGACTTTGAGCCAAAGAAAGAAGAGAAGAGAGCGTCTCCAGACAAGCCTCGAAAAAGGCCACGCTCGCCGTCGCGGCCGCCCCGTCGGTCGCCGGAGGATCGAAGAACTCGTCCGAAGACACCTGATCCATACACCCAGCTGCCTGCCAAGGACCCTGAGGTTCCCGAGCGATCACCGTCGCCGACACCTCCGCGATCCTCTCCCAAGCCGTCTGCTCTCGAGCGAACGAATGCGGAGATTGCAGCTCTGAAAGCGTCGATGCGGCGGACCGTCAACACCGAGCCCGCTGAGACGGGTCGGAAGAAGTCCGCCTTGGAAGCCATGATCCCGGAGAACGCGATCCGCGGGCGCAAACGACCGCCTCCAGGCAGCATTGGTGCTAGTAGCCAGGGACCGATCGGTCGGGGCGGCACGACGGGAGAGGGCTTCAGCTCGGGGGCGGACGCGGAGGCGCTGAAGCTGTTCAACGCATTCAAAGCGAAGCTGGAGAGTGCGGACGCACAGGTAAAGAAGAAGCAATCGTCGTCACAGAAGACGAACCAACAGACGGAGGCGTCCAACGGCAGCAAACAAGGCAAAGAAGGCGAAGAAGGCGCCGAAGACGAGGAGGCGCAGCTATGCGACCTGCACTTCATCGCCAACTGCCAATCGTGCCGATCATGGGAGAACCCAGACCCGGAGGCGACGGGGGGCGACGAAGACATAAGGGAGGAAGACTGGATGACGCACCAGCTGCGGTTCGGCAAGGACACGCTGGGCAAGGACCTGAACTGGAAGAAGGAGCACGAGGACGCCGACTCGCTGGTGGTGATCGACCCGCGGGTGCGCGAGAAGGAGATTAGGGACAGCCAGAAGAGTCGGCGGAGGGAGAGGGATCGGGAGCGGGATCGCAAGAGGGAACGGGTGGGTGATTTGGAGTGGGAGAGGCGGTAGAAATATACATATGCAGAATTGGATGGATGGGATGTACTGTATGTACAGTAGTACATGTGCATGTGGGCTAGAAGCGCCAATTGATATGATATAATATAATATAATGCGATAGAAGTCAATTCTCCAAGTGATATCAACGTGGATCACCTGCATAGTGGTCAATGTTTATACATGATAGGTCTGTTGTCAAGATTAAAGTCGTCTTTCTAAATAATTAATTAATCCAGACAGAGACTTGTTGTGTTGTTGTTGCCATTAGGCTTGTTGGATAGAGATTTTGTGCTGGTTTCAATCTTCACTCTATTATTGTTGTCATTGTGCCTGAAACAAATATATAAAATAACGTGACTGAGTTGACAAGGTCACATGCTCAGAGGTACCGTTGTCACTGGAACTCAAGTACCATTTTTTTAAGCTTCAGAAACAGGCAATTCTGAAATTGTCTTAGCCAGGTTCCCAAATATGTAACGGTGGTGCCTTGCAGCAAGTCTATTTTGACTCACTTGTACAGCATCAGCCATGTGACTACTGACTGAGTGAGTGAGTGACTACTGATCGACATCACAGTCAGCCGCACTCTGTTCAGCGTGACGCTGTGGCTTGGCAGCCATCCTCCAACAATCACTCACTGAACACGATCTTATTTGTTATTCTTCTCGCTGGCTTCAGATATGGCATCCGACTGCTCCTGCCAGGGGAAAGGGAAATCGAGGTTGCGGTTGATCGCCATCCCACGTTGGCCCCAGTGACGGGCCCAGGCCAGGACGCTCCTTCTTGGCCAGTGAAGCCACGCCAGGTATTTCGCCAGGATATCGGATATCTTCTGCTTGAGTCGAGGCATCATGGGTCCCTGGAATAGCAACACCTTGGTCAACACCACCGTCGTCAGTCCCGCATCGCAACTCCCACAGCAAGTCCCAGGCACTCTGCAGCCCATCGCCAAAAAGCCCAAGGACCCCAATCTGACCGATTCGCGGCTCCTGGTCCATCGCAGATGCATCTACGAGCGTCGTCTGCCCGGCAATGCCTACATCACCGCCCATGTGGAGCGCCTGCAGCATGGCTACTTCTCCAGCCCGAACCTGTCGGGACGAGACATCGATCATGTCGACTTCCTGGCCGTCAACTTTGTGTTTCACCCGTCGGACTGCCAGTCGCACCGGTTCAAGGCGGCGACGATCAAGGCTTCGATTCAGAACGCGGAGGGCGAGGGATTCTTCCCCCGTCTTCCGCAGGAGAACCCGCGGTTCCTGATGTATGCGCCGCATCTGATCTACGGCGCCGTGTCGCCCGAGACGCTGCAGTGGAATTTCAGCCTGGCCGGCTCCCTGGGCATTTCGGACGCGCCTCTCGCCGCCAGTCTCAGTCCATCGGGCAGTGTCCGCGGCCAGTACAAGGTCTACGAGATGATGAAGATCCAGGGATCGGTGCGCACGCTGAAGAGCCGCGACGGGCCGGAATTCCACGTCGAGGACGGCGAAATCGTCTGGTCGCTGACGGAGAACCCGCTGCAGCGGTCCGGGCTGCCGCGCGAATTCACGTTTGTGATGCTGATCCAGAAACCGCATGAGGACAGCCGCTTGCGCTTCTCACTCGAGATCGAACCTGTGATCGATGCCTGGTTTGGCAGCTATCCTAGCTGGCTGCTGGGGTTGTCCAAGTATCAGCCGCTGGGCAAGAGGCCGGTCAACTTTCGCCATGAAGTCGGCCAGCGGTTTGAGCCAGTCGACTCGCGGGGGTTCAACTTTGCGAGTTTGGCAGGGTCGCTGGATAGCTATGTCAATATGCCTGGCAGTACCTATTCGTCGAATGTGAGTTCTCTTCTTGGTACAAGTAAGATCATGCTAACTGGAGTAGATATCGCCTGAAGGCGTCGTCAACGATCCGGGGACGGACCTACCAATAGGTTCGGGGTATCAGGATTACCCAGATTCTTCTAATCAAGGAACTTATCCCTCGAACCAAGGACCATGGCAACCATCCGGATACACACAACCGATCAGGTCGATAGGCGAGGCACTCACCTCCAACCTAGAAGGCGGCACGCTGAACGTGCGGGTTCTGCTAGACCATGGAAGATCCTCTCCTCTGTCGGCAATGCGAGCGCCAGCGCGACCAAAATCGCTTCGGCGATCGCAGTCACGAGAAGGGCTGAATCGTTACGCGAAGGAGCAGCAAGCCGCACGGACAAGAACGCAGTCTGTATCCGAAGCGAACAAGAATCGGTATTCCTATCCTTATGGGTAGCAACAGCCAGGATGCAATCTGCCATACTCTATTTACTTTACGGCGTTCTTCAGGAATATGGGAATGGGATACCCTTGCTTAGACGGTGACTTGTTCTTTATGTATGTACTGTACAGTACTCTATGGATTGGCGGCGGTGTGAAGGACGAAGTCTTCTTCAGATTGTAATAATAATAATTTCTTTCCTCTTTCTTCTTGCACTGAAAGTCCTACCTAGCATGGATCTGGATCAGTAGGAATATACCTGTCTGGAAGCAAGCAAGCAAGCAAGCCATAATAATCCCAACAATAAGAAAGAAAGCAGTTGAATAATGAATAAATAAAATAAAATAAAATAAAATAAATGCTATTGCTGAGCTCGAGCTGAGTGCATACATACATACAGTCATAGAGTACTCCAGTGTACACTATCCTATCCTGTCCTGTCAGGCAATAATAGATGATTTGTGTATGTACAGTACTCTGTCAGAGCACTGACAGACAGTGCTGATACTAACTAATAATAATAATAACAACAGGATAGGATAGGATAGGATAGGATAGGATAGCTACCTAAGGCCAAGACCCAAGATTCTCAAGCCCTCGTATTCTTCATCGCCGATTAACTATGTTCTTGTTCCGGTTCTATACTTGGAACAACAGTACATACATACTTAGCTAAGGTCTAAGGGTCTAAGGGTTCATCTACATATCTTGGCATTCTGGGGGCCAAGCAATAACCATCCATTAAATCCATTACTCCGTATTAAATTCAATCACTCACGCGTAGACTTTGGGCCTCGTGGGGGTTTGTGAGTGCTGATAGGATAGACGTACTGTACATACAGTACTGTATGATGGATATGAGGTACTATTCTTCGTATCTTATGGAATTCTATCAATTCTATCCTTCCTTGCGTAAAAATAAAAACAGGACAAGATGAGACAGACGAGACAGACGAGACAAGAAATTGAAAAAAAAAATTGAGAGCGTTTGTTTCTTTTAATTAATAATTATTTTGATATTTAGATTTATTTTTCTGGTCTTTTTTTTTTCGTCTGTGTTTCCTTCGTACCTTACAACGCGTCTCTCCATCTCCGTCTCCGATGTCGATCATCCATTGAGTTATTTCCGAAAGGGTTCTTTTTTTATGTAACTGTGGATCCCTGGATCGACAACAAGCAGCACGACAGACACGGGAGAAAAAAACGTGAGAAAAGCACTGACATTTTATATTATTTACAGTATTAGTTAGGGTCCTACCTAATATGTATGCTCTGTGCATATGTACTACAGTAGATACATGCTAAGTTGGCCGGGCCAATTTCAAGGGAGGAAGTATATATGAATTTCAAAATGCAGGTCTTTATTTATAATATAGAAAGGAAATAAAATAATAAATAAATAAAAAAACATATATAGTACTATGCAGTACATTCATCTTATTATTATTCCTCGTACTCCGTACTCCTCACGGAGTACTCCGTAATACTGTCCACAACTCCACCGCGATTCCCGCCAAACGTTACATTCCATCCAAATTAGCCTTTGCATAACGATGATGATCCCGCCCTTATTTCCTAAAATAGGTAACTAAATAATTACCTTAGCCAGCCCCGCTGATAAATGGCCGACTTATCGTGGCACTCTGCAGATCTGTGCGTGTGATCATCGTTTATTTATTATTGGTTAGTTGGATGGAGTCTGTCCTGTCCCTGATCTGGTGATCCCAGACAAGCACTTGGTTTGTGTTTTCGTGATTGGTTGGTGTTGTCTGTCTGCATGGGGGAGTTGGGAGTTGAGTTACATACGGAGTACAGTGGAGGAGGACATGGTGACGATAATGCTAGTATCCGACTATCTATCTAGGTAGTTATATAGGGGTCCTGCCTGCTGTCGACCGCAGGAGCAATCGAACAGACAAATCCCAGTCCAGGTCTGCCAAACAGATTCCTTTCTTTCCCTAACTTTTACAAAATGTATCTCAGCAAGGTCAGTACCTGTCTCAACTCATCTACCGACATACATACAGTATACTTATCGAGACTCCAGCTCCTCACCCTAACTTCCCTCCTCATCGGCGCCTCCTCTGCCGCCATCATCAAACGCGACTGCGCCGCCACCTGCGGCAGCCACTGCTACTCCTCAGACGAGATCAACGCCGCCGTGCAGCAGGGCTACTCTCTCGAGCAGAGCGGCAACGAGGCGGGCGACTACCCGCACGAGTACAAGGACTACGAGGGCTTCAACTTCCCTGTTCCGGGGCCTTACTACGAGTTTCCGATCCTTGCAGACGGACAGACCTATGACGGTGGCAGCCCCGGTGCGGACCGTGTCATTTTCAACGATAGTGGTGAGCTGGCGGGTGTGATTACTCATACTGGTGCTTCGGGGGATGGGTTTGTGCAGTGTCAGTGATTGTGATGGCATCTTGATGGGATGTTATGTGATGTGATGGACGTCTCTGTTGTTTGGTGTATTTATGCAAATGTGAATATCCGTTTGTTTCTTCGAATATATTCTTGTGCACTGGGTTCTCAACGGAAATAAAGAATAATGTCATCAAGTAACTGAGTAGGAGCTCCTCACCAATCAATAGCAGGGATGCTCTTGACCATCGAAGGATACTTTACTTTCCTCAACAGAGCTAAGCTCATGTACATGTATGTATGTACATATCGTGCCGTGCCATGCGATCAGCAGCTGCCAGAGATAGAATTGAATGAATTCCCATAACTGCCCATCATTCATGTTTCACAAGTGGGAACGAAAGGACGTGTATCTATCTGATCGCAAATCCTGAGAAGGCTAGCTGAATTGAACCGTGGGCTCCTAATCTTACTGTATTTTCAGTTAAATACTTCTTCGTCTACCATTAAAAAAAAAAAGAAACAGACAAACCTTTGTCGAACTACAAATGTATTTTCTCATATGTGCTACGCTGTGCCATGCTACTACTAATATCGAGCAGGACAAACAAAAAGCAAAGTATCATACGGTCTTATCATTAATTTCATTACCATAAGCTAACGCGTATACACCATCTCATAACTGACCGTCTGATAACAGTCGAATCACAACAAGTTACCTTCTTATGAAGGACATGCTTTAAAAAAAAAACTATCATGCCTTCTCAGCCGTCGCTGTTGCTACTGCAGCGTTACCAACGACAGCCCTCTTCTTGGTCAGCCGGAATCCACCCACGACCAGAATCAAGGCCTCCACGCCGAGGATCACTCCCAGCGTCACCATCGCTCCGATCACTCCCGCAACCGCCCGCGAAATGCCGCCTGAACTCGAGCTGACGCTAGAAGCAGCTGGCGAGCTGGAGCTCGTCGACGCATCGCCTGCTCCAGCACACACCCCCGTCGTGTTGCCGCACGCTTGACACCACTGGCTCTGGCTCGAGATGGCGAACTTGTTCGTGTGGTCGACAAAGTCCGACCACGACAGCACGGTGCTGGACTGCCCGAACAGCGGGTAGGCAGTCGGCTCCGGCGAGCTGGCCGAGGTGCCGTTGTGGAAGAGGAAGCGGACGCTGATCTCTGACGCCGGCGGGAAGCCGCTCGATGTCGAGGAATTGGTCACCAGCTCCCACACCATGGACGACGCGTAGTCGGGCATGCCCTCCCATTCAGGCCCGAGAGACGGCAGCTGCGCCAGGCCAAAGTAGGACAGGAAGGTCGCATACGAGCCAAACTGCACGCCGAGCTTGGACTGCCCCCCGGAGGTGATGGTCTCATTCAGCGCCTGGACAACCTGCCCGGCCAGCACGGCACCGGCGATAGCACGCACTGGATCGGAGGCATTGTAGGCCAGATTGTACTCGTGGATGTTAGCCAGGACAAGGAGCTGGTGAAGCAGGTCCGGCGTCAGCGCGTCCAGGGCCGGATACTCAGTGGTCGAGTTGTGGATGGAGCCCACATTGAGATAGTCGTAGATGGTGTATGCGTTCTTGAAGTTCATCTGGGACGACGTGAAGGTGCTGTTGATCATGGGCGCCAACGACTTGTAAAAGTCGGCCGTCGACGCCAGCAGGCTGTTGTACGAGTCGGACGAGAAGTACTCGTTGCTGCTGAGTTCGGCCTTCAAGCAGCCAGTCGATCCCTGCAGCCACGCAGAGTTCTCGCTGCCACTTCCAGACGACAGCAGCGAGATGGGGATGAGCTGATATCCGTTCAATGGCACGTCCACCGTGGTTCCATTGCGGAGGGTCTGGTTGGCGGACGAGCCCACGGGAGGATACAGACCCTGGAGCCAGCCGGTGGCCGAGTTCTGCAGCACGCTGTCCGACGGCGACGACACGCTGAGCTGGGACAGCTTGACGATATCCGTCTCGATGCCCAAGATCTGCGACGGCGAGCCGGCGGCGATGTAGCGGCTGTGGTAGTAGGAGCCGCGGGCAAACACCTCGCTGTACCCGAGATCGGTCAGCACCGTGGGCGGCGTGCTCTTGGAGGTGCGGTCGCCATGGCGGTGGAAGATGTACGCGCCCAGCACTGTCTCTGCAGAGGACAGCTGCAGGGGATTGCTGCCAGAGCGAGCAGAATCCTGGATGACTTGGTAAGCATGCTGAATGTGAGGCGATCACAGACGCCCGTCGTCAGGGAGGACAAGCAAAGGCAAGAAACAAAAGCAGACGGAGTCATGGCGGCCTCATCTTTATGCAGAACTCGTTTATCGCCCACACGACGCTGTTCCGCGGAAATCTGCTATCAGAGAGTGGGCGGCGGGGAAGCTCGCGGTCCAGGCCGATGCCCCTCTTTGGCAGGCCGTCATTTGTCCCGCGTGCAGAGGCGGAGGTCGCCGATAAGAGCTGAGAGGGGAATTCTTATATTGTTTTGGTTTAGTCAGAAATCTATTTCTTTGGCTGCAAGTGTTTGCAGGTCAGTAGTGGCTGTAATCACTCCGCAGAGTCGTGTGCCAGATCAACCAATGCAGAGATAAGATTGATCAGATTATTATGTTTGGCGATTATGACTAATGACGCTGACATACGTATCCAATGAACTCAAAAATAAAAAAAGAAACCAGAAAATACATCTCTAGCAGCATGATTATAGAATTAGACAGGTTAAAAAAATCGATGACAAAAACTTTGTGTTGATTATTAATCGCACCCCCAGTGCCGTGTGAAAGACGGCGACGTTGACTACACCATATGGGATATTTTGCAGTCAGCAATTGAGTTCTGACAAGAGATCAATCACAATCCATCAATAATCATCTATGCTACTTTACTGTTATTGCCGTGAGAGAAGAATACACGCCAATGTAAGGTCATGGAATTGATCTCTATATCAGGTCATATAAACCATTCATGGGAAAAGCGCCGCTGCACAAACTCCGTAACCAGTTCAAAAACGAGTCCGTTTCCAATGCTGAAGAATCATTTCCATGGCTTTTACTCTGTAGAGATGGCTACGTCTCCATCGCCACTCCCTTATCGCCCATCAATTCACATCCATTTCGAACAACTCCTACCAACCCCCCCCGTTTGAACGGCCTCGCTCCCACCGCCGGATAACCGCCATTCCACCTCCGCCAGCCCTTCGAGCCAGGTGATCCTTGTCTGGGCGGGAACCTCGAGCCGTTGCAGCTCCTCGCTTAATGCGCTCAAGATATCGGCCAGAGCCAGTCCTTTGTTGGCTTTCAGCGTGTTGATGGTGTTGAGGCACGACGTGACGTCGCTGGTGGTAAGGAGAGTGGTCATGATCTCTCGAATGTCGGAAGGATGGGGCGCTGCGACACAGTTGTAGATCGTTTCATTCGTAATGACTTCGTGCTCAGGAGGCGGTTGGTCCTTCGGTGCATCTCGCATAGGAAGCGGCATACCTTTTTCACTGTTAGACCTCGTCGTTAAACAAAAAAAAAAAGAAAGAAAGAAAGAAAAGAAAAAGGGGGGAAAAAAAGGGAAAAAAAAAGAAAAAAAAAAGAGAGAGACGGGATTCCCTACTGCTTGCATGACAAGCTTGCAGCACATTCAACGCCCGTCGCATGTCACCCTTGCTGAGTTTGATGAGACTGTCGACCGCCTCGGGCTGTATTCGTACGTGCTCCTTCTCAATCACCTGGTCGATCAGGGACCGGATATCCGCCTCCTTCAAAGGACTGAACCGGAACCGTGTACATCGTGACAAGAGGGCAGGTGAGAGCTTGTGCGTGTAGTTGGCGATGATGCAGAATCGCGTGTTGGCCGTGTACTTCTCCATGATGCGACGGAGGGCCATCTGCGCCGTGGCAGTCATCGCATCTGCCTCGTCCAGAATGATCAGTTTGAACGCTCCCAAAGAATCGGTGCCAGCCGACGGAGCGACGGAAAATATCTGCTTTGTACCTGCGGCAAACACGTTGAGTTTATCTTCAGCTGATCAGCCGCGGGAGAAGAACTCACTAGCAAAGGTCTTGATCTGCTCTCGGACGACCTCTATGCCTCTGTCGTCACTGGCGTTCAACTCCAGAACCATCTGTCGCATGTTCTTGCTCCCGTAGATGCGCCTCGCCAACGCAAGGATTGTAGACGTCTTTCCCGTTCCCGGCGGGCCATAAAGAAGGAGGTGCGGTAATCGCTATCCATCAGTTCAGCAAACTGCAGAGCGTCATGAATTGGGGGTTGACGGCGCACATTCGATTCGACAAATCTGTTGATCGTTGCGAGAATATCCTGATGCCCAGCGACATCGTCCAGTGTGTTCGGTCGGTATTTTTCCACCCTGGGCAATTAGCATTCATCCAGTTCAAACCATTGTGGCATTGCATCCGTACCATGGGAGATTATCCTCAGCCTCGACTGGAAGGTCTGCGACCACCTTCTTGCCCTTTGGATTTAGATTGTCGGAGCTGAACTTGATCGCGTCGTTGGACGGAATATCCACGTCCATGTCATCCTCGTAATCCGACATTTGGAATAAAAGAGGCCAAAAAATCTATTAAACAATAATTACTGGGATTACAACGCAAAAAACAATTCGAAAAGGATGGTTGACACAAATTATCCAGCACTTGGCTTTCGACGCGTCGGCGAGCGGTACGCGTAAAGAGGTTCGGCGCCGGAAAATCATGGGCAGCCCTGCTGTACTCCTGCCTGTCGCTAGGCGGAATGCCATGTCGACCACCAGCGACCGCCGACCTCCGCATTCTCGCCCAACGGCCTGTCCGCCCCGACAGACCCAGCCCTCTCGTCAAGAAGACTTCAGTCTGGTGGAAATCGGATCGCTCGTTCCACCTGTTCAGGATGCCTGTGGGTTTCCTCAAACTGCTCAACCCCTCTCCATCAGGAGTCGCACGACACCGACTGACTGACAAACAACCTCTAGGCTTACAACTCCATCTTCCTTGAGGACCGCGACGTCCCGGTAATAGGTACGAAGGCCAGCATCTCGACTCATGAACAACATACCAGACCGACAGAGAGTAGATATGGCTAACTCCGGTCATTCATGGCTTCAGGGAACTTCCCCCTCCTCCCGCTCCGTACCCGCACTCGCGGCCCCGCATATGTCCTCCCCGCGCTGCCTCCCGGCTCGTCGGACGTCGATATCGACCCCAACAGCGAGTCGTACGACTGCGTGGACGAGATCCTGTCCCTGTTCCGCGCCAATGTGCTGTTTCGCAACTTCGAGATCAAGGGTCCCGCGGACCGCATGCTGATCTACGGCATCCTCTTCGTCAGCGAATGTCTCGGCAAGGTAAAGCCAGGAATGACAGCGCGAGAGGCTGAGAAGGTAGCATCCTCCTCCCTATATGAGGCGCGTTTGGCGGTAATAATCATGTTGTTCTGACTCATCAATCAGGCCCTGATCAACGTCGCGCTCGATCAATTCGCCATCCCCGGTGATGTCTCTTTCCCCTTGAACCAGGCCTTTGAGCCTCCACACAATCGACAAGATGCAGAGACTCTCAGACAGTAGGCCAATCCGAAGAGATACGGGCAATCTCTGGATTACTGACTTATATCAATCAGGTATCTCTCCCAAGTCAGACAGGAAATAGCTATCCGATTGCATGCGAGACTATACCCTGGTGGTGTAGGACCGTCTAAGGTGAGTAATAACGCATCTATACCTGGGATTATATACTATATTGTATTTATTTACTGACAATTTCTTCTTTTCTTGACTGCAGTTCTGGCTCAGTTTTGCGAAGCGGAAGTTCATGGGGAAAAGTCTATAGACTATAAATAACTCGGTTTTGTTTTTCTGTTTTTGCTTTCGCTTTTTTGTTCCGGACGCATTAGTACAGCGTTATGAAATGTGAATATTGCCTTCTTCCTTACTTACTTACCTCCTTTATCTCTTTTTTTCTCTCTACGGTCATCGATCTCGACCAGGATGGGGAATGTCCACCCCTCTGTCTTTGTCAGACTGCCGCTACTGCTTGATGTAACGTACCTGTCTGGTGTGGACAGGTGAATAGGGCATAGTTTGCTCTCTTTCATGTCGCTTGGACTTATGACTTATCGGTACGTATTCACCCCATCTTAGGAAATCTCATGTATTGTACAGTACAGAAAACCTAGAGGTATGTATGTACTCTACATACATACAGTCCTTATCACAGCAAAATGGACGACTAACCAAGTCAACCAATGAATCCAGAACTTTTTTATCGTTAAGATGCCATGTGCAATGGTCTAGTTCTAATAACTCCGCATTCACTCATCTATCATGTTTTTTTTTGTCTATATTTTCTAATCGCCCGGTGTACTAGGTGTAGTTTCAGCAACTTTCCGCTTCTTCCGACTCACGTTGCCCCGGGCGGAGATGCGCTCCTGCGTGGGGATGACTCGGGTAGCATGGAAGATGTATCCCTCCGCGCCGCCACGGCCCATCATCAACGGATGCGTGCGTCCGGGAAGGACCTGCCAGGGACGCACGCGCGAGGTCTGCAATGTCGGGCCGACGAGGAGGGTCGGATCGACGGGGAATTCGGAGGATAGGTCGATGGGGGGAAGATCAGGAGAAGGAGGGTTGTTATCGTTGGAAGTGTCTTGCCCTTGCCGCTCCTTCAGCTGCTGCTCTCGTTTCTCCTCGAGTTCTCGCTTCCGGTTGATAAAGGCGACCCGTCGAGCGGTCGAGTAGAGATCTGCCAAGTGGACAAGAGGCTCGATCGTAGGCGAGTACACCACAACCGGTGCCGACCCGGCGAGCAGCGGCACGACATGTTGCAGGATTGAGGCCGGTTCCATCAGGCTGGCGACTATCAGTCCATCAAAGCCTCCGGCCCGTGTTTCATCCACCACGCTTCGTACTCGAACCCATCGGTTTCGCTTGCGGTAATATATCCCGCGCTTGCTGGGCTTCCATGACTGAAGGGTCGCTTCGTCCACCTTTTCAGGTTCGTTTGCGTAGATGGGATCCGCGTTGGGGTCCACAAGGTGCAACCACGATAACGTCTTTAGGTGCGTGTAGAGCGGATGGGACTCGTCGGGATTGCCCTGGTCGTACGAGAAGTATTTAAGAAGGGACAGGTTCGGTTGCGAGTGAGCGTGGATAAGAGTAAGGGTGTTCCCCTTGGCAGACATGGGCTGTTTCCGTGCCCTACGCTGCGGGTGAGAGGTTCTCCCATCCTTGGGTTGTTCTGCCTCATCCGCATCCCCGGGATCATTCGTCTGAGTGTCATCATCGTCCTCGTCGTCTTCGTGAGGGTAAAGGATACCCATTCTCTCTGCCATCGCCGCAACTACTAGACCGCCCGTGTCATCCACGACGAGATATCGTCCGTTCGGCTTCGATGTGACTGTTTCTTCCAGCAGGGTATTTCCCCCATGGTGCACATTACCCCAACACCCCATGAGAGCAATCAATTCGTCTCTCAGCTCCATGATCTTAGGCGCGTCTTTCTCTTCGAGCAGATACTGCGTGAGGATGCTGACGTCCATGGGGAGGACAGTGAATCTCCGCAGAAATTTCTTCTGCTTCCTCAGTTTGTATTTGGCGAGCGAAAAGGCCGTCTTCTGGTCGATCGCCGTATGCGACTGCAGCAGTCGTGCAATGATTTCCTTCCCTGCGCATGTCGCCTGCTTCTTCAGCTCCTCGATCTCCGCCAATGTTAACTTTTGACTCGAACTGTCATCGATGGTGTCCCGATTTGTGCGCATCGGCACGTCGCCATCGCCGTTCATGTCGAAATCCTCCATCTCGCCGTCCGCCTCTCCGGAGCCCTCACTGATGAGGGCCTCCGCATGAAGCTCTGTGGCGGGAACAACACGCAAGACATGGCCATCCTCATCCGGGTGGTCGAGAATCTCGTACGTCAAGTAAAAAGGACGTCCGATAATTTGGTTGGAAGGGAAGTTGCCATACTTCCCGAGCGAGACATTCCTAGGTAGACCTGTAAGCAAATGCGCCGTAAAGCCAGATTTAAAGCCAAAGGAAAGGAAGACACACAGAGCGCAAAGGCCCCGGAGACATACGTATTGGGCACGAGTTTGATGACCTTGGATGTGTCGGACGGCAGTCGCAACACGACGTACTCGTGGGGGCGGACGAACGAATGCATATTGAGAATAATTCTCACTCCGAATTAATGCATATTTAGTCCCAGCTGCTCATACAGTATACACGGCCCAAGGATATCAATCTTGAATTCGCGTTCTTAATTTCTTCATCCCACCGAACGCACGGGCCATGCGGAGCTCTCGAGAATACGCCGGCGCAGGAAGAACTTTCTTCCGGGCCCCCGTCACATGTCAGTCCTGCTCGGGGAATCGTTATTCCATCCGCCTCTGCTGCCTGACGTAATCGTACTTCGATCGGTAATATTACCATACCGTACGGATTTCACCGCGACTGGCTACAGGAGGGGGCGTAATTCTCGTAATGTTCTTGCCTGGCTGGTACAGATCGATCGATCGTTCCCCGCCTATAAGAACAGGAATACGCTATGACATCTTGCCTCAACCCCCGACATGCGCCCTGGCGAATGACAGTTCGCTCCTATTCTTGTTCTGCCAATGCTGCCAGACCCTAAGCCAGCCTCCAGAAAGTGGCAGCCTATATGTTCGCCCAGATCATAACACTGCATCTCTCTCTCATTGCGTGGAATATTCAATAATTGCGACCTTGATGGTCGATCCTGCCGCTGCCTGAGCTCCGCTGCCTAGCTCAGCCCTCCCACCCAGCTGCGTACCTATATTACGTATGTCAAGGGCGAGAAATACAATCAAGGCAGAAACGATTAAGTCCAATCGCGATACCTCCTAAGCCGTCTGGTTTCTACAGCAGATCCATGTCTGTTTTTGATACTGGAGCTTCAACAGGACATCCGCCAATCAACCCGGCAGCTACCCTGAGGCGCGGAGAACCGACCTACGCATCAGGAGCTCCTCTGGAGAGCGAGACAAAGCTCTGTCCTCTCATCAGGAGCATCGTTTGCTGATGGTGCTCCGAAAAGCTCCACCTCCCGGCATTGTCGTCCCTCCGCGAGGAACCGATCATCCTCATCCGCGATCCGCAACGACCCCAACCTCCAACTCGTCGCAATCATCACCCAACCGTCTAGTCCGCCCAAGACGGGCGCGAACCGTGAGTACAAGCCCTAGGCAGGTATCAGTATATTCACCCGACCTGAATACGTCACCTGCGTTCGACCTTATGTCCCTCGAAGAAGCCCAGCAGAAGTCGCCGATGGGAAGCTCCTTCAACGACCCCCAGAATCCGTGGGCGGAAGAATTGGTCGAGAGACCGGACCCCAATCATCTGCCGCCGAACTTACAAACTGGGCCTGTTAGTCAACCACAGGAAGACACTAGGGAGGAGTCGAAGGCGGGCATCTCTCGTATTCCCCCAATCTTGATGGAGGGGACGGCGCGAAGGCAGGCGGCGGAGGAGCTTCCGCGGAATCAAGGGAACAAGGATTCCAGCACAGAAGCACAGCCAGAGACGGGCAAACAGCGATTGCTATCCAACAATCCGTTCCTCCGAGCCAGAAATCCCAGCACAAACCCGTGGGATCAGCATAATGGCAGTCACCCCGGTCAACCGCAAGGAGCTCCTGAACAGAATGCATGGGCCACAAATGATGACCCTTTCGGCGAAAGAATCAGTCAAAGTAAGTCTGCTTTGTCCTTGTCCTAAATGTAATCTGACCCTTTTCCCTAGGTTCAGGTTTTATTCCAATGACGGCACGACTGTCCTTGTTGGATCAACCGGAGGATCCCTGGGCCCAGCAGAATAGTCAATCAGCACACACGCCGGAAACATCTACCCAACATCAGCCGGTTAGCAGTAACAATGCATCAACCATGTGGTCCGCTTCGTCGTTTGACGGCACTGCTACTTCTAGCACATACTGGGTGGATGGTTCCACTCAGTCGGCTCAAGAAAGGACGTCGAACGATCATGACCAGGGAAATGGAGTCCAGGGTTTTGATACTGCCACAAGTGGAAACCCTTTTCAGTCTTCACGACCTGCGGAGCAACCGGCGATCAACTCACTGGGGTCAGGGGATGTGGCGAACGGTTCTAACGGCGCCGCGTCGAATCTAACACCAGCCTCCTCACAGGACCTGTTAGATTTCAACGATCCTCCGTCAACGAGCAACAAAGCTGAACCTGTAGAGCAGAAAGCTCCGGAACAACCCGGCCAGAACGAAAAGCACGAACATACATCGGTTCCCACGGAATGTCCTCGAAGTGATAACCAGCCCTCTAGTGCGGAGCAAGCCTCCGAACCCAGGCAACCTCCACCTACCACTACACCCCTCTCCGAGGCAGAGATGAGAAAGCAGCTGGAGAAACAGGCAGAGACCTATGCGATCCGACATATCAACTGGACAGATCATTCGGGGCAACTGCGCGAGTCTCCCGTCCTGGTTCAGAACAAGAACGGACCATGCCCGCTTCTGGCTCTGGTCAACGGGCTCGTCATGCGCTCTGAGAAAGATGCTCAGCCACCAATTGTCAAAGCTTTGCAGACCAGAGAACAAATCTCTCTGGGTTTGCTCATCCAGGCTTTATTTGATGAACTGACCACTTATCATGATGCTGACGAGGAGCTTCCTGACATTGAGGCTCTGAGTCGATTTCTCACGATGCTACATACGGGGATGAATGTTAATCCCCGTCTGACTCTGGTATGTATTGTTTCTACCTTTTACTCTGGGTCAGGCAATTGCTGACGTTTTCCAGGAGTCTGAGAACGCCGTCGGATCGTTCCTAGAAACCAACGATCTTCGACTCTATGGGACATTCAAAGTCCCTCTAGTTCACGGCTGGGTTGCCTCGCCTTCTAGTGAAGCTCATGCAGCACTGAGCCGTGTAGCCCAGTATCACGAAGACATCCAACTGCTGCAGTTCCGCAAAGAAGAATTGGAGGATCGGGTAATCCGCGGTGGTTCGCTCAGCGCGGAAGAAGAGCAACTCGTCCGCGATATCGACACGATCCAGTACTTTGTCAACGTCGAGAACGCCACGCAGCTGAGCGCTTTTGGACTCAATCATTTGGCACAGACTCTGGCGCCAGGGTCGATCTCGATTCTGTTCCGGAATGATCATTTCTCCACTCTCTACAAACATCCACAGTCGCACCAGCTCTTTACGCTCATCACCGACGCTGGCTATGCCGACCACGCTGAGATTGTGTGGGAGTCTCTTGTCGACGTCAACGGATCGAACGCTGGATTCTTCGCGGGCGACTTTCGGCCCGTCGGACACGCTCCCGCCGCGTCGACCAACCCTGCTGGTCAGAGGAGCTCGAGTAATGCCATTGCCAACCACACAAATAATATCTCTACCCAACATACCGAACAGACGGATGCAGATTATGCTTATGCGCTGTCATTGCAGTTCCAGGAGGAGGCGCAGCGGGAAAATGCGAGAAACCGGCGCGCGTCAACACCTTACTACGGGTCGACACCTCGCCCGGCCGCCCACAACCGGTCGTCATCAAGCACGGTCGGCGGGGGTGGCAGAGGTCGATATCGCGGCTCGCTCCAAGACCCGAATCTGCAGCGGCCGTCGATTCCTCCTCGAAACGTCCGGAACATTGCCCCGGCCATGGGAACCCCTGTTGATCCGCATGACGTGGTAGACGACGACGACGATGCGCCTCCGCCTTCGTACGAGCAGGTTGCGCGCAACAAGGCGTACGAAGCGCAGTCGCAGCGCGGACGACGCTCGTCGTATGAAGATATTACAAACTACTCTCTCACGTCCGGTGCAGAATACGGACGATCACCACGGCCACAACAACAACCGCCTTACTGTGGCGGAGGGAGACGACAGCCGGGATTGGTTGCGTCGAGTTCACAGCAGCAGCAGCGAAAGGAGAAGGGCAAGGACTGCGTAGTAATGTAGATCTCCTCTCTCACTTATCTGTCATCTTGTGAACGTTACTCTGCGTCAGAACAGAGACGTACAAGTCTTACTTTACCATGGAGTTGGAGTTTTGGAGTTTGGATGGATGGTTTGGATGGCTTGGTTTGATTTGGTTTGGTTTGGATATTATTTTTGTCTATGCCTATGCATGCCATACATATATTTATTATATACCTCTCCTTGCTCTGGACGAAATACCATACATACAGCCAGTGAGTGAGTGAATGAGTGAGTGAGTCAGTGATGTGAGGTAATGACAATGACGATACGGTATGAAATGAATATATGCTTTCTTTGTAAAGGCTACACCAAGCCAGTCATCGGTCAATTAGTCTGTTAGGTAGGTCGGTCAGTCGAGTAGCCAGCGACTGGCGTGTTGTGTTGCGTTCATTTTGGTACACATCATGTATACGATATGACATCCATAGACCTGGATATGATAAAAGCTTTTTACGCATATCTATCTAGATCTATCTATGTCTATATCCTAACGAATCCCGTATATAGGCATGATATATGTCTAGAATTAAAAAAAGAAAGGAAAGAAAGAGAAGAAAAGAAACGAAAAGAAAGAAAAGAAAAGAAAAGAAAAGGCAATGGGAGAAGAAGAAGTACCTATCTATCTACTCCACGCGTACGTAGGCACAGGCACACACATTCAGACAGCACTGTAGCAGGCAGCTAGCCACTGTAGCTAGCTAGCTAGCTAGGTATATATAGCCTATAGGTAAGTACAAGTAAGAAGGTATACGTAAAGTCGGATTGATTCCATTCATTCAGACGATGAAAAATAAAAATTTAAAAGAAAAAATGAAAAGAAAGAAGAGACATAGGAGGTAGGAGGGAGGGAAAGTAGAATTATAGGAAGACAAACGTATGTTTATATATGTTTATATGTTTATTTATCTTTATCTTTCCTTCCTCCTACTTACTAGTAGAAATGGAATGTATACATATGCAACTTTTCTTTCTTCAATTTCTCTCTCTCTCTTCTTTTTTTTGGGTTCTCTTGCTTCTTAATTAGTTAATAAATTTTTCTCTTCTATGCTATGCTCTTCTATGCTATGCTATGCTACTATGCTCTATGTATTCGAGAAAGTGCAGAGAGAGAGAGAGGAGGGAGAGAGGGAGGGAGATTAGATTGATTAAATCGAGAAGTTGGTTGAAGGGAAATAAATGGAAGGAATAGAATGGAATGATTCCAAAGGGATAAATGAATGAATGAATGAATGAACATCATAACATTCCCTACCTACCTACCTACTCCCTACATACCTAAAATAACCTAAAATATATACATACATTGACATCAACTCGCTCTTGAAATCTTTTTTTTTCTGTTTTTGTTTTTTGTTTTCAAGGGCAAAAAAAACACACGCACGCACACACAAACAGAACAAAAAGGAAAGAAAGGAAAGACTAGACTGGAGGAGTGTTGAGAAACAATACCGAACTTTTCATAATATGAAAAGACTGACACTGACTCGACTGGACTGGACTGAACTGACTGAGTAGGAATTATCACTACCAGATCAACTCAACTCAAATCGAATCGATTCAATTCAATTCAATTCAATTCAAACCAACCAATTGACACGATTGATTGATTGATTGATCGATCGATTCACTGAGGGAGGGAACGAAAGGAGGATTGATTAGGAATAGATTGATTGATAAATTGATTGATAGATTGATGTCAAACTGATTGATCGCGCTTTGGCTCGTCAAGTACGTAAAGAACAACAGTAAAGAATAAAAAGAAAAGACAAGAAAAGAAACAATCAACAGACAGACAGACAAAACGACAATGCCTTCCATAACACCCTATACCTATACCTGTACCTACCTAACTAAAGAGAAGAGAAGAGAAGATAAGAGATTCTGTACCACGTCACGTCACTTCGTACCCATGGATGAAATTAGTTCAGTCACATCACTCATCACCTCGAAATCAGTCAGTCAGTCAGTCAGTCAGTCAGTCAGTCAGTCAATCAAGTCTTCTTGCGCCGCTTTGGGCTGTGTCCTGTAGTTCCGCCTGCTGTTGCACCTGCACCTGCTGCTGCTGCTGCTGCTGTTGTTGTTGTTGTTGTTGCTGCTGCTGTTGCCGTTGCTCCTGTTCCTGCTCCAGCCCCAGCTCCTCCTGCTGCTGCACCTGCGCCTGCAGAATCACCGTTGCTGCCGTTCCCCGTCGCTGGCATGTTCATCTGTTGAAAATTCTCGTCAATAGTGTTGGCTGGGCTCGTTGCTTCACTGTCCGTGAATGTCTCAACGATCCGGCCCGGCTCGTGCTGGTTGGTGGTGTTGGTGTTGGTGTTGTTGCCAGTGTTGCCGCCACCAAGTCCGCTGCCATCAACTCCGGTTCCTGTGCCCGTGGTGTTGCCATTATTGAATCCTCCGGTCTTGGTGAAGTCGTCGTATCCACCAAAGTATCCGGAAGAAAGGTCTGTCGGGTCACCACCAGCACCAAGGTTATCAAAGTCGAACAGGTCGTTGCCCACATCCTTGGTCACATCCGTCGTCGCTCCCGGCGCTGCAGGCGCTCCCGTCGCCCCTGTCACCCCTGGCGCTCCTGTCGCTCCTGTCGCCGCCGTCCCAGTCGGCTGACCTGCTGCCGTTGTCGCCGTCGCCGCTGTTCCATCACCGAAATCGAAACCACTCTTGTCCATGTCCGGAACATCTGTGAAGTAGTCATTGCTATTGAATATCTGATCCAGGTCAAGCGACGGCGGCGGGACATTGGAGGAATCTCCAATACCAGGGATGGTTCCCGTGGGGCTGAGAGGCTGCAGCAGATTCGTCAGGTTCTGGACAGAACGGTCCTGCTCGGCCTGCATCTTGACGAGGTTATCGATTTCCTCGCGTGTGCTAGCCAGCTGGGCAGCGTAGTTTTGCGGCATCGGCGGCGGGTTCGGTGTCACGAGAGCATTATTCGAAGAGGCCATGGCGTTGGGATCAGTTGCACTCGTCTCGTTCGCCATCAGCCGCAGCATGTCAGCACGTTGGTTGGGAGTCAGCGCAGAATTGCCACCAGACGTCTCCAAGGAAGAGAGGACGTTGGGAAACTCGGAGAAGGTGGTGGTCGGGACGCCGTTGCGAGCATTGGAGTTCTGAATGACGGACATGATATCGCGTTGAGGAAGCGGCTGTGTCGAGGCCGGCTGCTGTGACCCGGCCTGTTGCGGGCTGGTGTCGTGGACCTCCTCAACGCTGCCGGGCTGCGAAACACTGGGTTGGCGGACATGTGAGCCCTTGCGCGAATGTGATGACCGATCGTAAGTGCTGTTGCCGGACGGTGACAACGTGCTTGCGCGGCTTTGAGCAGCATCCGGTTGCTTGGGAGGAGCCTTCAGCAGCAGTGGTTGCTTCTTAAACGCTCTCTGGTTGCCCGTGTTGTCACCCCCCAAGGTGCTCAGAGCATAGTCGTCGACGTCAACCACATTGCCTTGGTCCTGCTGAATAATTCCCGAGAATGGGTTGGTGAGGTTCTGTTGCCCTTCATGACCTTGGAGGCTACGATTGTAGACAGTGGCCAGGAACGTGAGGATCGCGTTGATCGAGTTTTCGTGGCGGGCGTGTTGTTCTTGGAAGCTAGCGGCCTGGGCGTACAACTGTTCGTGCTCCCTCCGCAGCTTCGCGATCGTTTGCGAGATGATCTGCTGCTGCTGACGGATCGTCTGGAGCTCCCGATAGACGCCCGCCAGTTGCTCCTTGGGCAGGAAATTCTGGTTGGAGCTCAACGCAAGTTGTCCACGATTTCGCCGATCATCTCGGTGGCCGTCTTCCCCATACTCGTCGCCTTCGTTGTCTTCGCCATCCTCAGTCTTCACCTTGTTCTTACTGCCTTTGCTGCCTTGAGAAACGTTCTTAGGCTTCTGGATCAGCCACAGCAAATCAGGATGACCGCGCTTGAAGTACGGATTCGCGTATTCGCTCGGGCTCTTGTTCTTCCGTTCACTGGCACGCATCGAATTGTCCGACAGTCCGACCTTCTTGTGGAAACCATACATGTTAAGCTGACGCACAAACGACGCATAATTATTATGTTTGAATAATTCGGGGATCAGTGTCCGAGCGAACTCATCTTCGTCCAGCACGATGAATGAGTTTCCATCATCCGACCAACGAATCAGGTCTGTATTCTTGGACTCATCGAGAAAACTAGGGAAAAAAAAGCAGTCAGCAAACATCCATTGAATCCAGGTATCCGGGTCAAAACCTACCTGCTCAGTTTCTGAACGAACGGTGGGATCTGCTTTCTCTTCGCTTGGGCTTCTCTCTTGGCAATCAGTGCCCGCTGTTCCAGTTCTGCCAGACTCTCGCCCCACCCATCGCCGCTGTTGTTATGGTCCAAGAGGGAGGGCGGGGCGGACGGCTGCTCGTATCCACGATTTCTGCTAACAAGCTGATTCATAGGTTGCCTGCGAGCGACTTGGTTGTTGGGAGACGCACCGGCCACAGACACATCTTGGCCTGTAGTAGTAGTAGTAGCAGTAGTAGTAGTTGTTGTTGTTGGTGTTGTAGTATACTGGGGCTGGTGGAAAGAGTTGACATCGGCGGGGTACGACGACGGTGGTGGATTCACGGCGGTGGCGGCAGGATCTTGACCCCACTGAAGAAACTGGTCGTTAGAGAGCTGAGCACCAGGATTGGTGTAGTTTGGAATAGACCCTATTTGCTGATGGACTCCAGGTGATGTCCCGGGGGCCGGTCTTTTGCGAGAGGAAACGCCTTGCGAACTCATCTTGCGCAGAAGTCTGGTCTGTGCTTCAGATGCCGGATTGACGCGCCCTTCCTAGGAGAGAAGGGAAGAGGACCCACGAGGGTCGCTCTCAAACGATCGTAGTCTGCGAGATATCTGCTCGATAACTAGAAGGATCCAGGGAGATTGGCAAGGTCGAGTGATAATGGACGCCGGGTGACCGTGGATCGAGACAACGAGGGCGGGGTGAGGCGGGGTGTTTCTGATAGCGAGACTGCTGTCGAAAGGGCGCTGTGATGCACGTCGAGGACGAAACGAAGGAGAAGAAGGCCAGGAATGAGGAGAATCCCGCAGTCAGGATGGGGAGGAGTCACGTTGTTGATGCCAGCGGAGCGGGCTTGACCACAGAAGAGGGGCGGGCGGAGAGATAACCAAGCCGGACAAAGGCGTGCGGCAGGAGAGCGGGAGGGGTCGGAAAGGACGTGAGATAGAAGGCTCGTTCTCGAGGAGACTGACGATGGAAAAGGCCTTTTGCCAGAGCAATGGCCAATTGACTCCGGGAGGGTCAAGTCAAGCCTGGCCCGCTGGGATGGGCGTCGGAGGCGATATGCTGCGAAAACAGCACCAAAAACGGAAGACGAGAGATGAGCAGCCTTGGGTGAGTCGGGAAGATAGTAGGATTCAGGACATGGAAGCGAGAGACAGCGTTGCCGGCAGGCTTTGACAGCGTCCAGGACAGCGGAACAGAGGTCCGGTCGTTTTGCTCTTTTTCTACTTGCACGACGTGCAGGCGCGGGCGGATGACAACAGGAATCCCCAGACGGCCTGCAAAAGCTTGGCTCGATGAGGTCAACACTGGCCCGTGCCCGCTGACTCAGCACGCTTGGCGTCACGTGACTGACCAGCGAGCCGCCGCGCTTGGAATCCGTTAGAAAACATGGAATCCTGCTGCTGCCGTCTACAGTACAGATTGGCATTGGCCTAGCTAGTGCGTGCATTACTATGCATTCTGTATCAATCAACCTCATAGATCAGCCGCTTAAAGTCGCCTACCAAGCTCTGCCACCGCTCCGGCTGCTCCTCCGTGAATTTCTTCATCGTCTTTAGTGCCTCCAGATCGGCCACCATGTGAGATTCATTCGTCGTGCCGTCCAGGACGGCTGTGTTGCCCAGGCCCAGGACGAGACTGTACAGGGCCGCAGGCCGACTGATCCCGGTCTCGTGGGCCAGCGCGCCCACAGGACTGCTGGACAGCAAGTTCGGGTTCGCCGTCAGGGTCCAGAAGCTCTGGTAGATGAGGCCGTGTTTGCGGCAGAAGGCCCGGACGGGCCCATCGTACCGCGTACTGGTGTAGAAGCGGTTCTGAACCACGGCCGGCTTGACCTTGACCTCCGGGGACATGTAGAGTGCTTCCAGCACGGGGAAGGGGCAGTTGGAGATGCCCAGGTTGCGGATGCGGTGCGGCACGTAGCTCTCAATGGCGGACCAGGCCTCGAGGGTCTGGTCGATCGTGGGCAGGGGAGAGTGGAGGACTAGCGTGTCGATGTAGCCCGTCTCGTTGGTCCCCTCGTCCTCTTTCTCGTCTGTGCGGAGATTGTGAAGGGATGATTTGATGGAAGCGTGCACCTGCTCTGTGATCGAGGACTGGGGATTGTAGGGCATGTTGTTTGGGTCTTGTCCTTGGACGGAAGTGAATTTGGTTTGGATCTAGAACAGGAAATAGAAACATTAGCATTCGTATTAGATTTTCTATTTTCTTTATCAGATTTTCAGAATAACGGGGGAAAAAAAATAACTGTTCATAATACACTTGTAGAATTCCTTTGAATCAATTTCTAGAAACACTTACATAGAGGTCCTCCCGCCTCACGATTCCCTCGCGAATCGCGCGTCGGATGCCCTCCCCAACAAGATCCTCTCGATAATGCTTTGGCTGCGCAGCCGTATCGACGGCGCGAAATCCTGCGCGGAGAGCCTTGTAGACGAGGTCGGTAGTCCGGTCCTTTTTCCAGGCAGTGCCGTAGATCAACACCGGGAGCATGGTGACGGGCAAGTGCTGCTGCGTCACCAAGCCTGTTGGTGCGAGGGCAACTGTTTCCCAAGACACAGACATCCTGGCCAGATTGGTCGCCTTCGCCATATGAGTGCTTTTTTTTTTCTTGTCTGGTCTAGTAGTAGTGACTTTGGTTATCAAATCAACACGAGTTGATCTGCATGCATATCACTGACGGGACCGTTATGGTGGTTGATGCGCATCGAGTAATAATCTAAATCAGTAATACCGGAGAGATGTGGTTTAGTTGACTATTGCGTCACATCCATTCTATGGCTATATATAGAAGATCTGGGCTCATGCATACACCCAACAACATGTCTACAATCTACGCAAGAATTCAAACACACAAATGTGTAGTTTACAAGAGCCAATAGGTTGCATCTTGATATGTGATCATTACTAACTCGTATTGGCATCTGCGAGACATCTTCCTATATATTATATATGCAAGGGGAATACGAGCATATTAAAGAAAAGATTACTGTAAAGCCGAAGTCCGTCGAAACTCCTAGTTCTTCTTACCAAATGAGGTGTTCCGGCTTTGCAGCGCAGTTAAACTGTGCATAACACATAACACATCTGATTTGATAGAGCCCAAATACCGAAGTTTAACTCTGTACGCATTTCTGGATACTACAGGGGAGCTAATTTAGAGGGCAGACTTGTTTTCTGCCCTGCACTGCACCAAAACAAGATGACTGCAGTCAACTCTGTTTAGAATGTAGCTATGTAATTTGCTGGGCTTTTCTTTTTCTCTTTGCCACATGCTCCGTTTATACCCTTTGCGATCTGAGATCCACCGATTCCATCTGTCTTCTCTACTCCATTCGGAGGATTAATTATTTTTTTTTCTTTTCACGAATCAAATCCTGCAAAGGATGTAGGGAAAGGAGGCTGTGTCGGAATACTCCGTTCGGCACTCCAATAGACAGACATAAATAATAAACTGCGAGTTTGTCAACGGATAATAATCTCCACAAACAGCCGTTGCCACCGACTGACTGGGTCAATCAATCTACAAAGCGCTGGAACAAGTGAGTGCTTGTGGCATGCACATAACATAATAATAATAAGTCCCATAAGGCCATAATAAGCCCGCCACGCCCTGTTCTTGCTTACAGCAATTATATTATCTACCTAATCTACATATATATGTAGATACCTATCCACCTGAGAAATCGCCACTGAAAATGGATGCCATATTGTCTCCAGAAAAAAAAGAAATCACGTGGTGGCAAGGGAGTCCAAAATGCGACTGACATATACTGTATAATGTTGCTACGCTGCGCTCCGCAAATTAATATTAGCGAGTTGCAACTGAAGATCTAAGCTACTATCTGTCAAGTCGCAATACGCATCCACCAATAAATATCGTACCGATTGGCATGTAACCTTGGAGCACAGCCCGGCGCGAGAATAATAATGCCCAATGCCCAATGCACTACTACGGAGTACTCCGTACACTTGGGTGACGCCGAACGCTAACACTTTTGCTTATTATGTTTGAGGACCAACTTTGTCTCTCACAGTTTTTGTCATACCTTGATTGACCATTCTGACATTCGCCAGATCAATGTATCTCTTCTTGGCCACATTTGGGTGGTCTCCCCTCTTTAGGTAGCTCACCACGAGGGAGACTGACTAGGCAGCAACTTTTGAAGTGGTGAAATAAATCTGACAAACCTCCAGGTAAACGAGTAAGCAGCATCGATCTAAATTGTTGTACACCTAAGTGAATCCAATGCCGGAACATTTACAGCAACCTTGCCAGCATAGCCAGGTTGAAATGTGTATATTAATATTATCTCCCGGAGCTTAGTATATCATTTTAATCCTTATACTCTGCAACAGGCTAAAGATAATATTGTCTCTTCACCTGCGACAGTCACTTGATTGACAACTCTTGAGTCATTCACCCGCTTGCTTGAGCTCACATTGAATACCAGGAGAATTCACCTCTCTCCATCTTAAAAGAACCCGTCCTCTTCCCCTGCAACTTCTTGTTCGAAAAATCTTTTCTAAGCTACCAACCTCCTTTCTTCTCACAATGACACGCCCCCGCTACTCCTACACCCCAGAAGTCCGACATTCAGGAAGGGAGTTTAGTAGCGAGTCTGAATTTCATTCCCACGTACGCAGAGCGATTATCGACTCAGCACACCATCAAGAGTTGGTCTACACTGAGGTCATCCCACTCTGGGGTGAGAACATCGTGCGATTCCTGAACGAAGCCATCGAGGAAAAAAAATACCTGTCCGGTAAGGCATAGATAGATCTGTGTGTGATTCTTCAATCAAAAGTATTTTCCACTCATTCCTTCTTTTTCTTTCCAGCAAACATTACAACTCGAGTACTCAGGTGTTCTGGGCATACATTATGCCGGTAGAACTTCACGACTGTCATCAAAAATGGTACCGTGATCAAGAGGACGACTGGAGAGAATCTGGCCTCCTGACGCGTGCGGAAAAAAGGCACCTGTGGCCTTCGGTTGGGACAAGTTAAGTTTTCTTCTTCTGTCTTTTTTCTCCTCACATTTCTTACTTATTTTTATAGCAATCGAGTTCTTTCAACCACCATATGCAGGTTCCAGGAAGGAGCCCGACCTCTTCATACGCGCTGAGTAAGCATACTTGTCTAGTTACTTGTGTACCTACAAGGCTACAACGTCCGTACTGTACGTACTGCACGTACGTCAGGACGCAGATGAGTGTACTCTGTACATACAGTACAATCCGAATAGTCTACTCCTCTTTAGCAGACTCAGTCCTAATAACCTGCATCCCTATCCCAACGTGAGTATTACCAGTCACTGAGAGATTTCGCATCTGATCGATCTCCTGCGATATTCCACCCTCGCTTAGGATGATTCCCCCTGGAAACAGATTCCTCTCAACGTCCGCTTTTTTCATCGAAGTCGTCATCACGGTTCTCATTCCTTTTCTCATCGCTTGGTTTGCAGCGCTGGTTCCAATCGTCGCTATTGGAATGTCACTCGGATGAATGGAAGATCCTGGTCGACAAGGAAAAAGCCATTGTGGTGATAAAGCAACGGAGGGAAAAGAGAAATCTGGAAGAGGGCGATATTACAACGCTAACTGGATAATCGGGTGACGATGAAGACGGGAAAACAGACGGATAGAGACAATGCGGTACTACTAGAGCCGCCGCCAGTGGGTGATCATGAAGATGAATTGGAAAAGATGAAATTGGAAATGGGAGTTCTAAAGGAGATGCTGAGGGCAAGGAGAAGATCAGAACGAAATTAAAAATGGTGATGTTGGAAGATATGCTAAGAGCAAGGGAAAAATATGCTGAGAGCTGATGACCTGAGGAAGAGAAAATGCGCACGCAGTAAAAATAGACGATGGGGACATGACTGGGATATGCACTCCGTAGATACTTCGTACAAAGCAAATAGCAGCACTACGGAGTACTCCGTACAGAGTAACATCCATGGTTTCTAATTATACCCACAATCTAAGAGGATTCGCGCATAGACCGGTGGAGGCAAGGTTCCCTCCGTACAGACATCTAAGCTGATGTCATACCAGCGCTCCTGCATTTGTCCCGTTAGAATAGGAGTCGTGGCTGCAATCGATTTCTGGTGTAATCCCATCTAGGCTTGTATATGCGAGGGTCAGGTGCCAATCCGGGATCGTCCACTACCAGCTGAACTTGATTTGGTCGAATCGTACAAATGCATCTGACAGAGTACTCCGTACGTAAGAGTCTGATCCCGATTCATAATCACGAGATGGAGTAATTGTGCGGCCCCTAACCCCTGTGACCCGGACCAGCGGCGAGTTTCCCGGCAAAGCTATCTCAGATGACACTGATGGAGGGTCATCAGGCGACCCTTTTTGTTGCCAAGTGCAGGCGCTTGAATTCGGAGGGGCGCTCCCTCAACGTCGCAGCGCAGCGAGTTAACCCAACTGGAAATTAAGCTCGACGGGAATGAAGCAATACTCCTGGCTATCAATCAATGAGATGCCAGTCTGCATGTAAACATGGTTGCGGTTCTCGGCCCGAATGGGCCCTTCCCCCGAAATTCTCAGGGTCTGCTCCGTACTCCGTACTAGCTAAAGCTCAGCAGAGATTCGTATTCCCATTTCCTGGGTTTGCGCGTCAAGAGCCGCTGTTTTGTAAAAATGGCATGTCTGGATCGTCCCCATCGGAGCTCCAGAAAGAGGACCAAGTCGAACTAATAATCTAGGTGGATCAGCGGCGCAACCCCGATCATCACAACAAACTCGGACTATTGGCTAGTTGGCTTTCGCGCGCCTGGTGCTTGGGAACTGCGAGGCAGTTATTCTGCCAGCTAACACGGAAACGGGAAAGGGAGACGAGACTCTTTTCCTCCATTATCCTTTTTAATTATACTCTGTGATTTAGTAAGCGAAGTTACTTGAATGTTGTCTCCTTTTTTTTTGATGACTTATGGATGATCCGTACGACTTCCCCGACGGAGAAAGGAGATACCCGGCTTCCCCCTTTCTTGGACAGTCTGGTATTGCACCCTGAAGCACAAGAGGCATGATCCAGGGGTATGGAGAGGGTATGGAGGCGACTATCGATCACCTGCTGGTCGTGCTGACAGGAGTGCATGATTGCCTCTGATCGAGTGGAACTCATCGACAGACAGGATCGATGCACATACGGCAACTCTTGTTTCCGTTTGCACGTTTTGAATTCCGGCAGAACGCCCCCTGACGGGTAGATAACTCGGACGGGGCAACGGTATGCTAGTCAATAAAAAACAAATAGTTCGACGCGAGTGTCCACAATTCTTCTAGAAGCCATACTAGACGCTGGCCGTTGAAGGAATCGTCAGGAGGCCGTAGGACCCCGTCGTCGTAGTATCTGGCCCACCGCGCCGATAGCTCGCCGTTGAGACGCGTACGGAGGACTCGTATTCCCGACGTGGCCGGCAGGGCGGTGCCGCCCAGTCTCGCGCAGCAATTCGAGTCGAGACAGGAGCACCAGCAGGAACGACTGTCGTGCAGAATTGAAGTACTCGCAGCTGGAGAGCAAGACGGATTCTGGTGGAGGGCTGGCTGGATGCAGCTGGCATGTGCCTCGCGATCGTCGAGGTCTGGGGGCGTCAATGTCATCCGCGACGGTCCGCGGGCACCGCCAGCACGGGGCGGCCCATGGCCCCGGGGAGACGGGGGCACAGGGGGCTGCGAGTTAACTGCGCTTTCCGACTAGCCGCCTCAGCCACAGCTCTCCTGCGCTTGGCCGCCTGCCCAACGAGAGGCTTTTTCCCTCCAAGACGCTGCAGCAGCCTGCCTCCGCCGACTCCGGCCTCCTAACGACCGTAGGAGTAGTGCGTCTATCACCTCCCCCCCCACTCCCAGCACTCCTTTCCTCCCAGGCCAGCAAGTGACCAAGGCCCCAAGGCCGCCAATCCGTCCATCTCCAACGCCGCCCGAACCGGTTGCTGCTCTCTCCCTCGCACACCTCCCCTTCTCCCACACCCTGCTCTCGTCTTCCCTCTCCCCTCTCCCATCCTTATTTCTCCATCTTTTATTCGCCGTGTTTCTTCTTCCCAGTCTCCTCGCTCGAGACTGCTTTCCTCATCCTATTCCCTGCCCTATTCTGTGTTTTGGTGGGTTCACTTCGGGCAGCGCGCAGGCAGGAAAAAAGGGAAACAACGGCCGCGTGGTGTGCTTTTCGCGTGCAATCGTCGTCGTCGGTGTCTTTGCTCCCACCACTCAAGGACTCGATCTCCTTCACGACGCCATCGCAGCTGCACTGCAGTCGGATCTCCATTGACGTGCTATCTGCCGCTGTTTTCTCTCTTTGGCTGTGGCTGTTCTCCCCGATCCGCATCACGCTGCAAAACGTGACCCCAGTCCTCCTACTCTACGTCCTTGGGCTGGAAACGGGAATCCAGAGAGGGGTAAAAAAAAAGTTTACCTCGCAGTCACGATTGGGACAACAACAAATCGTGTCTCCGTCTGTTTTCCCTTTCGCCCCATTTCGGGAGAACAGCCTCGTGCTCGCTTGTCGAGTGACCGCTCGTGGGCCAGCACCAAAATTTCCGGTGGTTGTATATTCACTCTTCGGGATTGTCTGGTACCTAGCATCATTCCTTGGGTTGACTGATTCGAGTGTTGTGATCCGGTTGCTCCTATGACCTGCTAGCTCCCATCACTCCTTCGATTCGACAACCCGCTCCCCTTCCCAGACGACAATTGCAACAGTTATCTCCTGACGCAAGACATGTATCACGACAACCCATCGTCGCGGTCTCCCGGATCCCAGCGTCAGCAACAGTCTCTACACCGCCAGTCCTCTCGCCAGTTTGACGCGTACGGCCCGATGCCTTCCAGCAACCCTTACGAAGATCCACTGGCTCGGTACGATACCAGTCGACTCGACCGGCTGAATCCTTTGCAAGGTTCCACCTACAGTTACGAAATGTCCGGCTCGCAAACCTGGAACCCCAATGGGTTCAGTGGTGCTCATACTCTGGGAGGAATTAACTCTGCCACTGGCAGGATGAAGCCTGCGACTCGAGGCAGAGCGGGGCTCCCAACGGTGCGTCTTCCATTTATGCAATACATAACGTGAAGTATGTCCCTATGATCTTGTCACTGACATCATTGGTAGACGTGGCTGGATCAGCAACCCGGCATCCCCAGCCCTTTTTCAGGTGGCCTGGGCCAGGGCCAAAGCCAGGGCCAGAATCAGAACCAGAGCCAGCTTCCCGGTTCTCAGGTTCAGAATCCTCCCCCGGCAAACCAGGAGGGAGAGGACGAGCTGATTCCGACCGCCATCGTCATCAAGAACATTCCTTTTGCCGTGAAGAAGGAGCAGCTGGTACAGCTGATGACGGAGATGAACCTACCACTGCCTTACGCGTTCAATTACCATTTCGACAATGGTGTCTTCCGTGGTCTTGCCTTTGCAAACTTCACCACGCCTGAAGAGACTGCTACGGTGATCGAGTGTTTGAATCACTTTGAGCTCCAGGGACGTAAACTGAGGGTTGAATACAAAAAGATGCTGCCGCTTCAGGAACGTGAGCGCATCGAGAGAGAGAAACGAGAGCGACGTGGACAGCTCGAAGAACAGCACCGGCCCATGGCTGCATCGCAACTGCAGTCGCAGAGCTCCATGTCCTCGCTCACTTCACACATGCCCACGACTTCTCCGTCCCCTGTTTCCAACCGCAACTCAAAGTTAGGTAAGTTTTAAGATCTTGTCGCCCCGGCCGTCTGTGACAAAGTTAACATGTTGCCCTTTTCAGAGGTGGACCTGAACGACAGTCAGACCTTGCAGTTCTATTCTCAACTCCTTCTTTTCAAGGAAGACCCCAGTCGTGAAGCCTTGATCTTCCCATCGACCTTGACCCCGCTTCAACGTCGCACGGTACACACTTTGGCTCACAACATGGGCTTGGGGCATGCCTCTCGCGGCACTGGTGATCAGCGCCAGGTGCATGTGTTCAGGACTGCTCCCGGTTCCACCAGTTCCAATGTCAGTCCCCCTACATCCTCGATCCAGCCAACAACGATCCATGCATCGGACGCTTCCCGTCGCAGTCTGAATCGGGCGGCCACGATTGATTTCGGCGAATCCCGGAGTGATGGACCCGGTGCATTCGGGACTTTGCGTGGTCAGAATTCCAACTTTCTCGGAGTCCTGGACTCGCCTGGTGGCTTCGGAAACTCCCAGAACTTGCGGGCTGCCAAGTCTTTTGCGGACCTGCGGTCCTACACTCCGTCTCCTGTTCTCTCCTCGGCGAGCTTCCCTGCCACTTTGCAGTCCAACGGAACGCGTCTTCAGCAGCAGTATGATGGTGCCACCAGTGGAGCTTCGAACACACCCACTTTGACCCCGACGCCGTCTGGATCTTCTTTGGGCATGCAGCGGGATGAAAATCTGCTGGTGAACAGCTTGGGTGGACTGTCTCTTGGAACTGGCATCGGCGGCCCGACCTCTGGTAGCCCCAGAAGGCTGCGAGGAATGTTTTCTTGGGAACAACAGGATAATAACCAGACTCCATCCACCACGGCCGGGCCTATCGGAAGCAACCGTACGATCGGTGTCGGGTTCGACAACCAGTCCCAGGAGCGTCTGCCTGTGAGACAGCCACGAGGCCCAGCCCCAGAACGTGGATCTGGCTTTCGACGCCAGAATGGACACCAGTCGCGTGGCAGCGATGAGCTTCGTACAAACTCGGGAGTCGAGATAATCGTTGAATAGACGGATAGCATTTCCTTGTCACGCATTGCAGCATGTCCGACCAAAATAAAGAGATGATCACGAAGTTTGTATTTCATGAGTCCCTGTCCCATTGGGACTGTTTGCGGCTTTACGATTCGATGAGGGATGACGAAATGACTCAAAGAGAATCCGAAAGAAAAAAAAATTTGAGCCCTATCTATCCGAGTTTTTTTTTTAGATATTCTTTTGGGGCAGCCCAACAGACGAATTTTATTGGATGATGACTTCACTGTTTGAGAATGATGGAAGGTCTGTGACTGAAGAAAAAAAAAGAAGCCGGCTTTCTGGTACGCACGAGCATCCATTATTTTCCTCCGCCGATATCGCAGAATGGGGCCAGGAAGAATATGAGGAATGATAAACGAAAAAAAAAATACAAAAAAAAAGAAATACGCCGATCTCTCATGTTTCCCTGAGAGAGTGATGACATACCAGCATTTTTTTTTGCATACTGTGTGTTATGTACATGGGCAACTTTGCATCATTTCATTATCGTGTTCCTTTCCTTTTACGCTGTTTAACTCTCCCCTAATTCCTAGTGAGATTTCGGTGCCCCCAGACCAGGTGAAGATGGTTCGAAAATTGATTCAATCAATGATCGATCCAGCTTTTCTCTGGTATGGGAGGGCTAGATGGCTCACGTTCTTGCTAATAGCAGTTGTCCATCGAGAAGCGCGAGATGACGGTAGCCGACGTGGGTGTGGGCTTTTTGATCTCTGTTTTCTCTGGAGTCGGCGACTGCTGGTGTTCCATGTGTGATTCCCAACCGTCATTATGGTACAGTGAGTGGAATGGGTCCGATGACTGGTGTCTGGATGGCCTGGAAAGAGGATGATGGTTATTCCCTTACTATCTCTGTTCTGGCAGTTGGCGTCGTATTCGGCGATGGTGGCAATTTTATTTGCTTCCCATTTTTCCGCTGTCTCATTGTGACTTTTAATACCTGGCCCGTTTACGGGTTTTATTTTGATTGCTATCATTGTCCTTGGTCTCTTTTTGTCATTAAAGTCTCACATTACTAAACAATATATGTCTGTTTCGAGTTTTTTACCTGGCAGCTATTGAATACGGTATCTCTTCGTGCTGGCCTCCGTTGCAGCGATGCCGATGAATAATGACCTTCGCCTCGTGTAATCTCGAAGTAACAGCTCTCGATCGTTTCAAAGAAACGAGAGGTAATGTACTTATAGCGATGAACGGCACCTGACTCAATAAGCCTCCTTAATTACGGAGTATATTGGAACCCTTCCCGGCCACTTCATATACAGTAAGTAGCCTAGATATATATACACAAAAACATAGAAAGATACTAGAATCAATCACTCTGACATTCTTCGTTCCATGAACAAACACGCAGGTGGCAGTCAACTATTACAACACCCCATTCTGCAACGGCTGTATGTACAGAGCATGGAACAGGCTCCCAACTTCCTAGCGGATGCCAATCCGTCAATAATATAATGTGTTGTCGCGAATGTGGCCACGAACGCTCAAAGTTAAGAGCGTGGGCAGAAGAATCTGATGGCGGCCCATATATATACGTTACGTTTCTTGATGATGATGATGATGATGATGATGATGATCGGACTCAGCGGCGCAGTTTGGTGGATCTATCTGGTTGTCGAATTCCTGTGCATGCTGCATTACCTGAAGTCGATGGCGCCCTCCTTCGCTGCCGTAGTTTCGAGGGTCAATGGGTCCCCCTTGCCTCGGGGATTTATTTGTGGGCGAAATCAACTGCAAGCTCGGTTGTTATCGGTATTAGCGAGTATTTGATTAGGAGGGACCCTGTTGAGAATTGAGGTACTACAATAGCCAATGTTTCTGTAGTGCTCTTCGGAAACGACTTGCAATTTTTTTTCAATTGTTGAGAGCTTTCTAACCATTGAATTGAACAAACCGAAACGTGAAGCGGCGCACCTACCCGAAAGGGAAACAGGACGCAGCAGGTCACTGGTCTGTAGTCACGAGTTGAGCTCTCGCAATGGATTTGATGGCAGGATGGTTGAGGCGCAGCGTCTGCAGGTGCGCCTCAGCTGAGTTGTCGAGGCATCTTCTACCCCGCTCTCAGCCTCGCAACGCTCAGGCAAGACTGCAACTTACAACAGGACAACTTCGTCTTTTCCTTGCCTTTACGAGAAGCAAGAGCGCTGTGATTCATATAAGATGAGCTTGGGCTTCAGCATAGGGGACTTCTTGGCAGTCCTCGAACTTGCAGGTAAGATCCGGAAGCGGTCTGTTAATGCGCCTGCCCGATTTCAGGAGATCTCTAAAGAGTAAACCTCTCTTGCCACTGGAAAAAGAAAATGCTGATTATTTTAATAGTTTCGAGACACTATCAGATACACTCCAAGAAATAAAAAAGTTTCAGTCTGAAAAAGGACTTAAGTGACCAGCAGAAGAAAGAGCTAACTGGCATTAGCCAGCATTGCTGCGATGATCTCAAGAGGCTCGAGGCCTTTCTGGATAAATATCAGGAACTAGACCATGAAAGTTGCCACGGAGGTTCTAAAATGCGAAAGAAGTTTCGACGGCTATTTCAGAGGCTTAATTGGGATCAGGCAGAAATCAACGATTTCCGACAGCAGATTTTAATGAATATTGCATCATTGAGCATGTTTTTTTATTTGGAAGGATCACTAGGTAACTATCCAACCTCTATTTCTATTTATAATCAAGAATGGCACTAATCAGAACAGTCATGCGTCACTTGCAATAAAGGAAGGCGTAGATCAGCTGAATCAACAACGAGAAGATTAAACGAAACAAGAGATCCTTAACTGGCTTACTCCTATCAGTTATACCTCACAGCAAAGTGATTTCCTCAGCCAAAGACAGAGCAACACAGGACAATGGATGTTAGGCTCGGGTGAATTTCAGCAGTGGGTTAGTAAGGAGAAACAGACACTATTCTGCCCTGGTATCCCTGGAGCAGGAAAGACAATCATGTCATCGATTGTTGTGGACCACCTCACCACCAAATTTCCAAACAACGATGTCTCCATCGAGTACATATATTGCAACTACCAACCACGGAAGGAGCAGAAGCTTGAGGATATCCTTTTAAGCCTTTTGAAGAAGCTGGCTCAGGGTCAGCCAACAATCTCTCCAGATATCAAGAGCCTTTACGAACGTCATCAGACCAGGGGAAACCGCCCTCAACTGGATGAGATTACCAAGACACTGCATTCCACAGCTCGAAAATATTCCAGAGTATTCGCCATCATTGATGCTTTGGATGAATACCACAACACAAATAATCAAGGGACAGATGAACTGATATCTGAACTGTTTCGCTTTCAAGAACAAGCTCAGAATATAAATCTATTTCTCACATCACGCCCCATTCCCCAAATCATGTCGAAATTTGAAAGATGCACTTCAAAAGAAATCCGAGCTCAAGATGATGATATTCTGAGCTATATCAATGGACAAATCCCTAAGCTTCTACCCCTGAATGGAGTAAAGAAACCTGAAGTCCAGGATACAATCAGGAAGAAAATAATGAAAGCTGCTGATGGAATGTAAGTTGATCCTTCTATTTATGGGGTTATTGTGTACTCAACCAAATTAACATACGTCTTAGGTTCCTTCTTGCACGGCTTCATATGGACTCTCTCAGGAGCCAGCTTACAGTGGGACATATCAAACGAGTGCTGCAAAACCTCCCTCAAGGACAGCAACGCTTGGGAGAGACCTATAAAAAGGCAATGGACCGGATAGAAGCACAAGAAGAGGCTAATCGGACGCTTGCTAAGCGTCTCCTCTCTTGGCTTACATATGCCAGGACTGCTCTTTCTCCTGACGCGGTAGCGCATGCACTTGCTGTCGACTGGGGTATGGTAGAGATGGACGACGACTTCAACGACTTCATTCCAGATGTTGAGACTCTCGGCTCTATATGCGCTGGACTGGTAATAGTGGACAAACATAGCAATCCCATACGCTTAGTCCATTACACCACACAGGAATTCTTGAAATCTCAGCTCCCCAATGCTGAGAGGAAGATTGCAGTCACATGTGTTACCTATTTATCATTCAATAGGTTTGCAGCCGGGTTATGTTCAATACCTGAAAAATTTAACATACGGCTCAAGGAAAATCCACTTTATGAATATGCTGCATAAAACTGGGGACATCATGCTTCTGCAGCTTCCATGGAGGAATCACTCATCTTGAACTTTCTTGAAAGTGAAGCCAAGGTGTCTGTCTGTGTCCAGGCCGGAATAGCCTTGAAAAACGATCTCTTCTACGATTACTTAGAGCAAACAAAAATGACAGGAATCCACCTTGCAGCATACTTTGGACTAGACAACATAATAAGGGAACTGATAAAGAAAGGATATAGTCCAGATCTTGAAGACATACTCGGCCAGACACCATTGTCATTAGCAGCCAAAAATGGCCACGAGGCAGTGGTCAAGCTGCTACTTGCAACAGATAGTGTTAAGTCTGACCCAGACTCTAAAGATAATAATGGCCGGACACCACTATCATATGCAGCAGAATATGGCCATAAGGCAGTGGTCAATCTGCTGCTTGCAACAGATGGTGTTAATCCAGAGTCTACAGATGACTATTATCGGACACCACTTTCATGGGCAAAATTATTTAGACACGAGGCAGTAGTTGAGCTACTGCTTGCAAATAGTGGTGGTGAGGTATGACCACCCACCTGAGAGACAGCGCAGGAAGGTCCCTTCTTTTGAATTTGGTAACTTGGCATAAGAATGATTCTGTTTTCTTTTCTTTTCTTTTCTTTTTTTTTATCTTTTTTTGCCTTCTGTTCTTCCTACTCTTAGCCTCATCAGCTATCATGCAGGGAAATTGCACCGAATCGACTCACTCACTAGCATAGTTTTGAATATTAAATGACCCAAATCTCTCTTGTAGCCTCACTAAATTTCTTTATCCTTCGAATATGAGAATGGCAAGAGGGATATATGCAGAAACACGGTAACACCCATACAACTCTGTTTCGCTGTACTCTGTAAATTCTACGGAGTATTATTACTAGCTCAAAGGGGAGAAAAAAAAAAGGAAAAGAAAAGATGAGAGAGTAATAAACGAAGTCCCTTATATGGCCTGTACAGTACACAGATGATAGATAAAGCCACAGAGAAGAATATTATTAGTTAACCAGGAAGTATTATTATAATATTCTTTCGTAGTTCGTATCAACTATCTAAAGTTCTATAGAATATGCATCGGTATAGAGAACGTGTCCAGAACTTACAGCTTGGAGCTAGCATTATTCCAGATGAGATTCTTGCGATAGGGACTCAAATTGATATTAGGTAGCATATCTGAAATCCGTGTGTATGTATGTGCGTCGTTCAGAGACAGACCGGGCTGACATCAAATCATAATCTTTAGGGCAAGTTCAAAGCGCATCACCATCATTACCCATTTCCGAAACAGATCAATCTACTCGTCTTGAAGAGCTTGATATCAAAATTGTTTTTTTTTTGAAAATTATCGCTTGGTCTATTGGGTTTGAAATCAACAACACATAACTCATAGGCAGTCTTGAATGCGTTTCGAACATTGTCATGCTCCTTTGAGTTAAGGCTTTAAAAGTAGTTGCATAAGCAGCACTCATAGCATCTTATTTACTAGGGAGTAGCAGACATATCCTCCTGTAACAATACCACTCCTTCACTACCTTATCTTCTTATATTGCAGCAAGTACGGCATGGAGGTTCAATTTTTAGCAGTTAATGTTATCAGATTCTGGTATTTAGTCCTGCAAACAACCTACCTTTGAGCTTGCTTGTTGTGCCTTGTCTTTGGCCGAATCGCTATGCGTCAGATAATGGTCAAAAAAGGATCAAAGGACGGAAGCAAACCCACCCACGAAGGCGACGTGGCTGCAGAAATGCAGCTTTACCAAGCTAGAAAAAAATAACTGATACTCATACTTTCCGCTCGTTGTATGGAGTATTTGTTGCGAAGGCTTCCATCTTAGGTAAGTTAATTTTGCTTTCTTAAACTTCATTGCTGATTGATTTAGTCAACAATGAAAATACTGAGATTATTCAAATTCTGAACTTTGTTGCCACTCTGAAAACGAACCATAGGAAAATTGGGAGGAAGGCCAAGACAGCTTTGGAGACCCTTCTCAAATTGATTCGAAACAACACTGACCCTGTTCCTACTTGACTTGAGTCAAATTCGCTGATCGCAAATGCATGTCGGGGGTTTCAGTTGTCCTACAATACGAAGGAATAACAACGTCTCCTTTCTGATTATTATTGCTATCCAGATTGTTGCCAATGCAGAGATATGTATGGACCTCAATAGTCTTATTATTTGCTTTATATACAAACTATTCCAATCTATTAAAAAAAGGAGAAAGCAAGCAAGGAAGGAAGGAAGGAGAAGAAGTTGTTTCGTTTGCTTAGGCAGATGGTCTTATTAAATCTGAACTGTTGGAAGGTATGTCAACCGCGGGCAATCGAGGTATACTCCTCGTCATTGGGAACGGAGAGTCTGACAATAAGTAAGCCTCGATTCCCTTTCAATGTGATTAACCGGTTGTGATTCCTGTGATACTCAACCAACTTCTTCCACGCCTGAAATCCCAAACTCCTAGCTAGGTGTGGTGTGTCACCCATCTTCTCATTGCCAATCATCACGAGGCCGTCCTGCCCACGGCTCAGGGCAACACATTGCCTCCGCTGATCGGCGACAAATACCGAACCAGTCTGCCGGGTCTAGTTGTACAAAGTATGACGATTGGCTTCTCGCTGCCTTGGGAGAGATCCACACTTTAAATCTGAATTTCCTTGTGCTGATACACGTTATGCAACAGTTCAGCCAAGATTCGCCGTTCCTCCTTGTAGTAGGATAATATGAAGAGCCTGTCCTCTGGACAGCATTTGCGAAGGAGTCTGGAAACAAGTTCTGCAATCACTGCCACGTATTCTGTAATGATCTCTTCAAATGGGGTCGCAATGGTCTCGTAGTGTAACCGCAGTGAAACCGCGGTGTTGAGAATGTCAATGAGGATTTTTTTTGTCATTAACTAAGTTGATTAGCAATAATTGAAGTTCTTGTAAAAGAGCCAGACTTACCAAACTCAGATACCTTGCTGACCTCTAAGCCATACAATTTCTCGAATACATCATTATCTCTCCTGTTGCGTGTGATATACAGATCCGCGTCGGCGACGGCATCACCTCCATGAACGGTTTGATTACCGTGTCTGGTCCTTCTTTTCGTTGCAGTGGTTGCACACTTTAGGATGTCCCTTCGGTAGACATCAAGAGTTCGTCGTCTCACGTCCAGGTATCTGGTGCAGTTGCGCGCCAGATCGTCGATCCTTAAGGACTGTTCGTCGATCCTTAAGGACTGCAGCTCAGTTCTTGTATTCAACTTTGCGACCTGCATTCGCAAGTCTGCCAGTGTCCTCATTATCTCTAGTCCAGACTCGTTACCATACACGGGCCATTCGCCAGCCCGTGTCAGGGTTGCTGATTTCATCGCGTCGCTGTATGCCGCGACTTCTTGAATATTTTCTTGTTCTTTGAGGGTCACAGAATCATGACCGATGACTTGGACAACCTAGGATGCAATGTGAATGTTAACAAGTAATAAGGTAAATGAAAGGAATGAACGTTCTTACATCTGATGGGTTTTTAACCTCAGAGAGAGGTTCGCATGAACCGTGAACCATGGGCTGATCTAGCTCCACGCATGCCGCGATTCGGTCATCATTCTCATAGCCGACAACTGCATACCTGAGCTGTCACTTTTTGAGATGCCGACGGAACATTTTCCCGCTTTTGGAGGGTGATTTGCTTCTGAGAAACATTAATGTCCAACAGGATGACAAAATTGACGTCCGAGCTCACCTTTAACCACCATTTCGCGTCGAGTTCGACTCTGGCAGTTGACTCTGCTTTGCCAGTCTCGACAATTAACTTTGGCCATTTAATGGGAAAAAAAAAGCACTCATCAGGGCGCTTGCTCGCGCGTTTGAAGGCAAGCATTATGGTATTGGATTGATGTGCTTCTGTTTCAGATCACTTGGTAGAGGCTGTTCTAAGCTCTAGCTCAGTATCAGCGTAATTCATTTTGGGCACATCGTGAACCGATTGTCGACACGATCGCGCGCCATCAAGCTTCCTGGTGCAACACTGGCTGTCTGGGCACACAACAGGCCCAAGGACATAAAGGCGAAGACCAAGGAAAAAGTCTAGAAGGAAATATGAGCCAAAAATCAACTTGCAAGAAAGATGTTTCCATTGGAGTGGACAAACCGATTGCCAAAGACAAAGCAAGGAAAAAAGAAGGGATTCAAAGAGTTTGTTCACTGGGCCAAACTCGAGAGAGCAAGGAAAAAGTCGATGTCAACGGCTGTCACGAATGGCAAGTGTCTTGCTCAGCAAGAAGATTGAAGAAAAAAGAAGAGGATGGGGGCGGAGGGACGGAAGGGGGATATTTATAAGGCAGAGAATGGGCAAATAGTGAATGATGCAGGAAGAGAAAGATCGTCACGGAGTCATGCTGAAAGGGATGCCGCAATAGTGAATCCTTAATGGAAAGAACGGTGACTGGAAGAATCGCCTTTTTCGGAAGGCATTCCGGGCTTAGATGTTTACTGGTCAGAGGTATAATTAAAAGTGTAGTTTGCCGTACAGAGTATCGGGTCGGTGAATTGAATTGCTTTTATGTAATACACAAAGACGAAGTAGGGTCCTGTGTTTGGTCGTATGTACATACCTTGAGTCAGCTGCATTATATAACTGTATGCCTACTGACTGGATCGTCATAGGTACTACTCATTATTATATGCGTTGTAGCATGTAGAAGGGTAATAGATAGTCTTTAGGTATGTGTCTCGCATTCAAACTACTTGTACAACAGGGGTAATGCGTAACGCAAATCCATCAATAGATAAAAGTAGAGAGAATGTTCCCACTGCCAGTTATCCTCCTAAGCCGTTACACCGCCCTTGCAAGTCAATCAAACCACAAGAATAAATCGATAGTACCGGGAAAAAGGGGGAAAGAAAAGAAAAAGAAAAAGAAAAGACCAGGTGCGAGGGAAGACAGATATAGCAGATTGGAGCCTAAGGATTCGAGCAATTTTGATAGAGCCCCACATCCAGATGCTACATCCGCCCACTCGTGTTCCTCGCCTCCTGACGTGGCAACCCGCAAAACCGATGAATATACCCGTCAAAATATCAGACCATCAGTCAACAGACATAGACAGGAGGTCCGTCCATTTTAAGTCGTCAAATATAAAAAGCGTATCCGAGTCGTCAGGCTCGCTTAGCCCTCAACCTTGTTCTTCTTCTTCTGCTCAACCTTGAGCAGCAAAGCACGGTTGATACGCGGCAGGACACCTCCAAACGCGATGGTCGCCCGAATCAGCGTGTCCAACTCTTCGTCTCCTCGGATGGCGAGTTGCAAGTGACGAGGAGTGATGCGCTTGACTTTGAGGTCCTTGGCGGCGTTTCCAGCAAGTTCCAGGACTTCAGCGGTCAGGTACTCAAGGACGGCAGTCACATAGACGGCAGCTGTGGAACGACGGAAAAACGTTAGCACGTTGCAGCAGGCAGAAAGATGACTAATATCATACCTTTGGCGCCGACGCGCATCTTATTTTGCGTGTTGTTCTTCAAGAAACGCTTAACACGACCGCAAGGAAACTGTAAAGGCATCCTCGTTAGTTTGGGCTCGAGAGAAAAAAAAGTAGACTGCAGTGAATGGACGCTCCGCAGATGTTGTCTAGGCCTTGTCGAAGGATAGTCGATGACAGCGATGGAAAAAAAAATTTTATCAACACATGTGAATGACCTGTCGCCAGAACAGGTGGCAATCACCCCTGTTATCACCTTGTATCGACGCGTATCCAAAGACAAAGCAAAAAAACCGTCAAGACACCACTTTTACATGCCAAAAATGCAAAATTACAGGAAAGAAAATGCGCAGATATCATCGACATAAACAGAGGAAAGTTGATGTACTGACCTGCAAGCCAGCCTTCGCGCTGTGGGACTTCTGGGTTTTCCCCGCAGCGTCCTTGGGGGCAGCCTTCCCGCCGATAGACTTTCCCTTTCCGCCGGCCATTTTTAAAAGCTTCGATGTTGTGGTCGCAGTGATGGAAAACTCGCGTCAAAGATGATTGCGAAGCGATCGGACTCAGGCGTGGTGAGTAAAACGATCCGAAAGGCGGGAAGCACGCGCGTTGTTGATGGATGAAGAAGTCAGAAATGTCCGTCCATCGCACCGCCTTGAAGACAGGCGTGGAGCGCGGAGTCGCGCTAGTCCCGATTCGGACCACACCTCAACATCCGTCCAGAGGCTCTGCCTGCACGAAGCACAGCGAGGTCGACTGCTCACAGGACCAGCAGATCTCGGAAAAGAAAGATGCTGGGATCTTGATATTACATAGAGACATTTCTGTATCTATGCATGGAGATGTTCTCGTGACAAGCATCTCGGAAGAGAAGGTAGGAACCATTGCATCTTGCCTCCCAGCAGGAGCTGTGATCTCTGTCTTCGAGAAGCGAATGCTTCACTGTAGGAATGATAAGGCATCATTCGGCGATGATTCCAATCTGGAGCCATTCGAATCAATGTGCCCTGAAGGCATCTTGATGTGGAGCAAGTTGACATTCTTTCTGCAACTCGCAGAGTCTCTTGGTATGAAGGTGGGCAGCATGGAAAAAGAACTAGCAGCGGTTGAGGCGGGCTTATGTCATCGGTCAGCTGATCAGATTGAGATGTTTGCTCTCCGCCGACAACCTTTTGCAGAGCATGGCGTGGACCCTGTGAAAAGTAAAGACCTGTAATACTAAAATGCTATATGTTACAGTCAGCCAAGATGGTATTGGGATGAGGTCCATGACAGGTATAATTAGAAATCGAATTGAAATAAATCATCATTAGCCAGTCTGTATGCATGTGCAATTTCATACTGTTCAAATAGGCCGTTTTCGATCTGGAAATGAATTTAATAGCAAAAGAATCTAAGAAGTAAAAACTACTGTCAATTCTATTTGAAGGGCAGTAGGTACTTCCCTACTCCGTATCTCTGTCTTATCAGGCCGGGTGCTAGTTCTGTTGGTCTTGAATCTCGCGCAATCGATCTGGTGTCCGTGCTTCTATCCATCACGTGACAATCTTCCCAACTGGACAACTCGCCAGTTTCCCCTTCGAGATTTTGGCTTTAAGGATAATTGTCTTGCCTCTCCCACGGTCTTCGCCGCTCTTCAGTCTCTCTTTTCTCTGCACAATCTTCGCCCTATCCTGCCAGGGGCTCTTGAATCATCACCGCCACCATGGTTTCTCCTCAAGTGTAAGTGTCACATGACTCTTCAAAGCGCTCTGCAAACTCCAAGGCGCGCAGATGCGATCGCTCTCAGGAACAAAAAGGGGAAGGGACTTCATTACTGATGCCACTGAATCTACAGCACTAACCTGGTCATCATCCTTGTGATGATGCAGGTTTCCAAGAAGATCCCTTTTGACAACCCTGACGTCCTCCTGGGAGTTCGGGCCTTGTACATTGTCTCCAATTTGATTATCCTGGGCATCTATCTCTACGTTCAATCTGTGATAAATAAAAAGAAAGGTGCGTTACATTTCTGTGTCTCATTTCGCTACTTTTTCCCGAGCATCGCGTTCTATTCTCACCGGGAACGGTCTGGAGATGAACGAGCAACTGACGGCCTTCTTTTAAACAGATATGACGACCCTCAAATATGTCGAGCCTGCGCCCGTGGGATCCGGAGAGGAGCCTCGTCCTGTGACCACCACCGTTATGGACTACGATAAGCAGCAGCTGCGGAACATGATCAAGTCGCAGCTGATCGGTGTCGGCATGATGGGTGTGATGCATTTGTGGTTCAAATACACCAACCCGCTTCTGATCCAGTCCATCATCCCTGTCAAGAGCGCTTTGGAGTCAAACCTGGTAAAAATCCACGTGTTCGGGAAGCCAGCGACTGGCGACCTTCAGCGCCCGTTCAAGGCCCCGCAGGGCTTCATGGGCATGGCTCAGGGTGAGGTCAAGAGCGACAAGGCGTCGATTGAGAACGCGGAGAAGAAATGGAGAGGTGGCGTCAAGGAGGAGTGAAAGCCTCATTGGCAGCGGAGACTGGTGGAGATTTGTGTTGGTGGTGTCTCGGGTGTGTATAAAAAAGCTATTCTATATTGGACGTGGGCTATGGGGGCAGAACGCTGTTATGACCTGTACCTTATATTATTGTAAACCAAGACATTGAACCATACGCCTGCATTTTTTTAACTGGCAGGGGAAGCGCGAGAGCGGCTTCGATTTCTCATAGGGTATTAATAATTTCCAATCTTGCTTACTATTCTTGATTTGAACATGCACTTAGATGGTGTTGCAAAGGGTCCAGCAACAGAGTGACCAGGAAAACAAAATGAGACGATTGACTAGCGAAAGGCATGTAATTCGTTCATCGTAGCTGCACTGTCAGAAACCGCATGCTACCGTCACTGCTCATGCAGAGCTAATTTCAGGCCCGGATATTCCAATCACGGTGACTTGAGAGGTTGTCAAGACCTGGTGGCCTGAACGTACCCTTGAACGGACCATTACCGGAATATTCGCTTATTATGCAACTATAAACCAGGCCGGTGGTGGAGTTGATTTCACTCGAGAGATCAAACGAGCATCGAGTCTTGATACCCCCATAGAATCGCCTCCATTTTTGTCGGTGGCACGAGCATTTTCCAGCAAGTCAAGACATCCTACACAGCCTTTCGCCCCATGCAAATTGTCCGCGATCACCGGTTCTTCTGCCGGTCATGATTAGTCAGAGCACGACGTCCGGAGTAGACAAAAAGAGAAAGGGGGAGAATGTGCGACCTTGCTTTCGGTGAGTGTTCTGGGGTGGTGCTATCTTATAAGTCTACCAATGCAAGACATGGAGAGAGCCGCCCGGTGAGCGGATGGCATGCGGTTGGCTTGGCCCATCTTGCCGAACCGGTTCACCGTTCCCCAGGACCCCTCGCAGGCATACCTCATCTGGTTCCCCTCCTCCGTATCGGCCTCTACACTAGCAACGGCAGACAACAATGCCGGGAGCTGGGGATAAGGAATAACCTAGGCAATCTCTCAGCCGTCGGGTCTTCTGCCAGGAGATTCTCGAGGTCGAGGACCCGGAGGGCCGCCGTGCAGGCCTCTCATTGGCCGTGGCGGCAGCTGCCGACGGGAAGCGCAGCAGGCGATATCGCGAGTCTCCTGTTTTGCCCGGTGTATGAAACCGGAATGGCTGTTGGCAACCTGCGAATGCGGCGTGTTTCGGGACACAGCAGCTGGCAGGGCAGCGAGCCCTCAGCGGAGCCTGTCGAATCCAAAGGAATTAACATCGGTGGCCCAGCCCCGTCCACTCGCCCGGTGTGCGTATTTTATCTGGTCGCACCCCTGTGCAGGCTGGAAGTGACCCGTCTGTTGCGTCAACAGTCACCGCTCTGCCTTTTTCTTCGCGTCTACCCCGCCACTACTGCCTTCAGCCCTTCCCCAGCACAAAAACTCCCCTCCATCACCAACTCCCCTTCGAGTCTAGTTCTACGTGCAGTATAAAAGCCGGTGAGTCCTTCTCCTGAAGAGATACCTTTTTGTTGTTTCCTCGCAGACCGTCTTCCTTCTCAACCTTTGCTTTCGCAAAGCCCCGCTGACGATTACCCCGCCATCGTAGCTACCTCACCGCAAAAATGGTTACCAAGGTATTACTCCTCGGTCGCACAACAGCTTGGCCAAATACTCACAACAACTGTCTAGATTGGTATCAACGGCTTCGGTCGTATTGGAAGAATTGTATGTTTTCCCCAGTCTATTTTCTATGCTTGTTTGATTCAACTCATCTAACGGGATTGTTTTAGGTCTTCCGTAACGTGTAAGTGGTGCTATAACCAACACCCCGTTGGTTGTCATTCAACGGGCACCTATGCCCGCCTTTCCCACGCTGAGTGATGCTGATGATTGTTGCTATAGCATTGAGCACGCCGAGGCCGAGGTCGTTGCTGTCAACGACCCTTTCATTGAAACCAACTATGCCGTATGTAGCCCATCTTTACCTTTTGGTGGATTTTCCTGCCCTTTTTTTTTTGGACCGATAATAACGATTTATCCTTTCCGATACAGGCCTACATGCTCAGATACGACTCTCAGCATGGCCAGTTCAAGGGCACCATTGAGGTTGATGGCAAGGACCTCATCGTGAACGGCAAGCGAGTCCGCTTCTACCAGGAGAAGGACCCTTCCAACATCCCGTGGTCTGAGACTGGAGCCTGGTACATTGTCGAGTCGACCGGTGTCTTCACGACCACGGAGAAGGCCTCTGCTCACCTGAAGGGCGGTGCCCACAAGGTCATCATCACCGCTCCCTCTGCGGATGCCCCCATGTTCGTCATGGGTGTCAACCACGAGACCTACACCAAGGACATCAAGATTCTCTCCAACGCCTCCTGCACCACCAACTGTCTGGCTCCTCTTGCTAAGGTCGTTAACGACAATTGGGGTCTGGTTGAGGGTCTCATGACCACCGTCCACGCCTACACTGCTACCCAGAAGACCGTCGATGGTCCCTCTGCCAAGGACTGGCGTGGTGGCCGTACCGCCGCTCAGAACATCATTCCTAGCAGCACCGGGGCTGCCAAGGCTGTTGGAAAGGTCATTCCTTCTCTCAACGGCAAGCTGACCGGCATGTCCATGCGTGTCCCCACCTCCAACGTGTCTGTGGTCGACCTGACCTGCCGCACTGAGAAGCCCGTCTCCTATGACGAGATCAAGGCTACCTTCAAGAAATACGCTGAGGGCGAGCTGAAGGGTTGGTGTCCACCGCAAATTTATATTTGTATTGCTGGTTTTCTAACATCATCGCAGGCATCCTTGGATACACTGAGGACGACGTTGTCTCCTCCGACATGAACGGAGACCCTCGCTCGTCTATTTTCGATGCCAAGGCCGGTATTGCTCTGAACCCCAACTTCATCAAGCTGGTTGCTTGGTACGACAACGAGTGGGGTTACTCCCGCCGTGTTGTTGACCTCCTGGGTAAGTGACAGACAACACGCCCCCCCCCCCCCGGTCTGCTGTGGAGTTATTCATGAATCTGACAACGTCCAGTCCACGTCGCCAAGGTCGACGGCAACAACTAGATATCAGGACAGAATTTCAGAAGTCTGCTGTAAATGCGAAATTCTTCAATATGGAATACCATTCCCTGGCGAAATCTATTGTTGAATTGAGGCAGAAACAACCTGCATGTCCATCTGTCGAAGATGGGTAAAAAAAAAGACGAATGCAGAGGTTCATCTGCGCCGAAACGTCGGTTCTCGTCATTAGGATTAAAATCAGATACAAAATCCCAGTTAATGAAATACTTTAATGATGAAATCTTACTACGTCTCCTGTTTGCTTATCAGCAATCTACTCAGCTTTACATCCAAGTAGTGCATATAGATGCCCCTCTGTGGATTGGTGCACAACCTTAGGTTGTGCAGGATGACTAAGCTATGCTCACAGTTTCCGGGAAAGCTCTCTGATAGGCTGATGCCGGCTATGGGGAGTTTGGGAACCTCTCATATCACTGAAGGGATCGCACCTTCATGTTCATTCCCCATGAAATACCACCTCCCAGACCAGCCCTCATTCTCCGATCCACACGTGTTTCCCCTCTTATACTGACCTGGGATTCCTGGTTATTCCTCAGTAGTAGTTTTTTCTCTTGTTCTTCTGTGCAGTCGTAGCTCAGTCACGTGGTGCCCAAGCTAGTTAAACCACTTCGGCGGAGTTGTGCCTGCCCTATGTCACTTGCGTCTACATGCATACACCATAAATCGTGACCACTATACAAAACATTCTGTTTTTATAAAGCTGTCTTGGTTATTTCATCACGTCTGTCACTGTTTCCGCAGCCTGCATTTATTATAGGCTTTGCCTTGGTTGCTTCCTTCCTATGGGTTTCCAACAGCCCTGAATTGCATTGTATCTTGTGAATACCCTGTGCAACTGTGTTTTCTTTGCGACTGTCATACTACCTGTCTTCTTTATTTGAAAATTTGTCTCTTTAGGATAGGGGAGGCCTAGGAGATTGGGTTGTTTGTCTTGTGATTTCCTGACTGGCTGGACTTCAACACCTTGTGGCTGTGAAGGGGTCATGAGGCAATACCGGCCTTAGCATTCTTTCAGACAAGGAATCTATCTTTGTCTCCCATCATTCAAAATGGAGGAGGATGAGGATACAATCATGGGGGAGTCTGGCTCTCAGACTGTCCCAGGTGGTTCAGGTCCTGCTGCGCCGAGCATCAGCTCACCAAAACCAGTTGCGCCTGAAAAGTCCATGCCAGCATCTTCGTTCCTTGGACGGCCGCTACAGGAGCAATTATTGATGCGCAATAGCCCACCCTCGACACATGAGTCAACACCTGCTCTGGAGCATCAGGCCCCTCCAGTAAAGGGACTGACAAGATCGATCGAGGAAGAAGGTCTGAATAGCAGGTCCGGCGAAGACTCTGTCATGGAAGAGAATTCAGACTGGACTGGAGAGGATGCTACAACACCTACAGGTCTACCGGTTACTTCCCTGGCGACAGGCCTGTGCTACGACATCCGGATGCGGTATCACTGCGAAGTGAGACCCACGGCCGATGTTCATCCAGAAGATCCAAGGCGCATTTATTACATCTATAAAGAATTATGTCGAGCAGGCCTTGTTGCTGACCCTGAATCTACCCAACCACTTGTACCGCGTCCCCTGCAACGGATCGATGTTCGGGAGGCTACGGAAGAGGAAATCCAGCTGGTCCACGCGGCGGAGCATTATACATTCGTGGAAAGCACGAAAGGTAAGATCTCCATTAGCGCTTGGCTAGATGATTAATCTGACAAGTAATAACTAGACATGCCCGATGATATGTTGATTGCCCTCGAACATACACGCGACTCCATCTATTTCAACCGGCTAACCTTCGCGTCTTCATTACTTTCGGCCGGCGGTGCCATTGAAACCTGCCTGGCAGTAGCCACACGAAAAGTGAAGAATGCCATTGCCGTCATTCGGCCACCGGGGCATCATGCCGAGCATAACAAAACAATGGGGTTTTGCCTATTCAACAATGTGTCCATAGCTGCGAAAATCTGTCAACGAAAACTGGGCGACCAGTGCAGGAAGATATTGATTGTTGACTGGTAAGCTTATCGTAGAAAGAAATGTCATCATTGCTTCTAAGCTAACGTCACTAGGGATGTCCATCATGGTAAGTATCTCGAGAGACTCTGCACCATCGGATCTACCTGATGTGCAGCTCCATAAGCTTACACCTCTCAGGAAACGGTATCCAAAAAGCGTTCTATGATGACCCGAACGTGCTCTACATTTCTCTTCATGTGTATGCAGATGGCAAGTTCTATCCGGGCGGCGAAGACGGTAACTGGGATCAGTGTGGTGCTGGAGCGGGGATCGGAAAGTAAGTATTGGAAAATCTTCCCTCCCTAAGCCCTGGAAGAACATTTCTGACCTCACGTAGAAACATTAATATCCCGTGGCCATCCCAAGGCATGGGGGATGGCGATTACATGTATGCTTTTCAGCAAGTTGTCATGCCCATTGCCAATGAATTCAACCCCGACCTGGTAATTGGTAAGTCTTCTCTCTCTCTCCCCCTTTGACTGGTGTGTAAGAGATGTGTGATGCTGATCTTTGACGCAGTTGCTTCTGGCTTTGATGCTGCATCAGGCGACGATCTTGGTGGATGTTTTGTCACGCCAGCTTGCTATGCACACATGACCCATATGCTCATGACTCTTGCGAATGGCAAAGTGGCTGTGTGTTTGGAGGTTTGTGGTCGATATCTGAGGTTTCTGTGAATTGATTCTGATATGGCTGATAGGGCGGATACAATTTTCGATCCATTTCCAAGTCGGCTCTGGCAGTCACGAGGACACTAATGGGCGAACCCCCAGACCGGCTCATCGCCACCTCAGCCTCCCTGCCTGCTATCAATGTTGTGAGAAGAGTCATGACAGCACAATCGAGGTACTGGAAATGCATGTATCCAAAGGTCCCACAACAAGAGGGACTATGGACAGATCGAGTCCACGGTAAGTTTTATACTCCCTGAAATATTAGTGGATCACCCTGCTAAGTAAAGCAGATATCATCCGCGCATACCAAGCCAAACACCTCTACGACAACTACAAACTTACTAGTCTGTTCATATACAGAAACTCGATCTCCAAATCTTTTGAAAACCAAGTGCTGGCGAGGTTAGTTCGGTTGCTGGTAGTTGACCGAACTATTCTTTCTGACCAGGACACAGTTCGAATTATGACCAAGCTGTGCCGCTTATTGTGATCTTTCATGACCCGTAAGTGTTGTCGATTCTGGGAAGGCACGGCCAATTTAATAACTCTGGACTAGGCCTGAGATTATGGGCATTCCCCATCCTCTCACAAACAAGCTCGAACCTCACAATTGCTGGCTTGTAAGTGACACTTTACTCCCTTCTCACTGATGCCGGCTAACCAGAATAAGGCTGATGTCGTCAAGGACTATATAGAGTGGGCGGTGCGCAAGGACTATGCAGTCATTGATGTTAACATTCCAAAATACGTGACAACGGAGCCGGTAGGTGGCTAGTACAGCCCGGCACAAGTGCCATGGGCTAACCAATGCAATCCAGACGCCTGGAAAGTATGAAGATGAGGACGAGAACCGTCAAACTGCGACCGAAGAGCTCGCGGGGTACCTGTGGGACAACTACATCGAGTACGAATAACACCCTCCACACCTCAAGGTTACGAATCAGCTAACCACTTCCAATCAGACCCAACGATGCGACACATATCTTCTTCATCGGCGTTGGTGATGCATTTTTCGGGGTTGCCAACCTCTTGATCAACAGGGGTGGGTACCTGCAGCGCACCTATGTTAGACTTAGGGGGGCTAAGATTCGGACAGATAGCATCTACCAACGCGTAAACAGCGTTATTTCCTTTGTGGCCGAAAACCCCGTCCGTGCTGTCGCATCGCATACCCAAGTCTGGCTTTCGCGATGGTACAAAGAGGTAAGTTTCTCTTGACAGCCGCATCTTGGCCTTTCTCCCACGCGTCTTAACGTCTGCTCTTTTTATAAATAGAACTCGCTCGTCTATGTCTCCCACACGCACGGTGTATGGAACAATGTCGAAGGCCGTCGGCGGCCATCCAAACGCTACGGTCGGCTCATACAATCCCCGAAAGCTGGGCTGAGCGAGATGCTCGTCCATCATAAGCACGAGGTATTTGAATGGATCGAGACTCGTGTCACAGCAACGGAGAGCGAAGAATCCGAGGAAGCGGAAGCGAAGTCTGAGTGAAGGGAGTGAAGGACCAGGAGGCACATGCTGGTGTTTGTTTGTACCTTTATATTCTACATGCTCATGACTTCCATTTCTTCCAGATAGAAATGCGGCAATCGTAGAAGGGGATGTGTCGTGGCTGTCCATGGGTTCAGTTAGTCCGCTTGTAAATACCTACCTACCTCGTCCCAGGTTGGACGAGCCAAGACGGCAATTGCGCAACTGTTCTACGTCATGGGGTGATGCCGGAAATATTTATACAAAGATCCTTAAAGAGGAGTGCTTTGAATAGATACATTGATCGGGTTAAACTTGTAGCACTGGTCTCTTCGGCCGAACACACCTCACCCGGAACCCGTCGACAATGAAGGCAGCGTGCAGCCCAGCTTCCGCTCGTCCATCTTGTTCTGTGGCACCAGGGCCAGGCATGTCTCAGTCGCCTGCGCGCTTTGTTGCTCGCGTGCCTTGCCGGAGACCCCTGCTAGTCGCCGCAGGATGATGACATTCCGCGAGCCGTTGACCGCCTCCCGCTGTCCAAGCCCACTACAACTGCCGGCGCCGGATTATTGGGGACGCCAGCCTAGAATCAATGGGCCAGCGCCACCAAATTGCGGCAATCCCATCGCAATCCCCGCCACGCGCTTGCTGAGCACTGCTGCTAGCCTGTCACCTCGCGATCTCGCTCGTCTCCACGCCGTCGTTCGTTCAGGCGAACCCAGAGCTGCCAGCTAGCCCGCGGTGGTGGCTCTTCCGGGTCGCAAGTGGCCTCCGCACTGGGGCTCCGCCGCCTATCGCGCCCTTGGTTCCAGGTTGCAACTCGCCCCTTTCGCTTTTGCCCTTGCCGCATTCTTTCCTCTCTTTCGCTTTGTCTCCTTGACACATTCGCTCCCCCGTCCTGGCTGCATGCCGGTAGTTCTCTGCAGATCGCGGAAGGTCGTGTTGTTGTGCTGCCCGCCGGGATCTCGCGTGCGACAAGCTTGGATGCCTCCAAGGTACTCTCGGTCTTGCGCGCTGTGGAATGTCTCATTGTTCGGGTCCTACCTTCCAGAATATCTTGTACCTCTAGGACGGAAAAGGACTTGGTCTCCAAAGCAGATCTCGTATTTCTATTCCCCGTTGTCTCTACGGCCTCACTCGCGTCTCTCCCCACTATCCTTCTGGTCGCCGTCTATACTCTGCTACCCCCCAGACCTCTCCGCTGACCTCGACCATGGCGGGGAGTCGAGCGTGTCACCGATCGGCTGGAAAGCCCGAGTTGGATGATCGCTCCTACCGTGTGATTCGGCTGCCCAACAAACTGGAGGCTTTGCTGGTCCATGATCCAGATACGGACAAGGCGAGTGCCTCCGCCAACGTCAATGTGGGCAACTTCTCGGACGATGATAGCATGCCGGGCATGGCGCATGCTGTAGAGCATCTCCTGTTCATGGGAACGGAGAAAGTAAGTGACAAATGAAGCTGCTGATGCCAGCTGTCCCAGAAGACAGTTTAGTAACCGTTCCCGTGTTGTGATCTATACAGTACCCCAAAGAGAACGCGTACAATCAGTATCTCGCATCTCATTCCGGCTCGTCGAATGCGTATACTGGTGCTACGGAGACGAATTATTTCTTCGAAGTTGCTGCGACTGCGGAGGCTAGCGACCAAGGATCAAATGGGCAGTTGACGCCTACGGAGTCTGTCAGTGGAAGCAACACTGGCGTGTCGAGCAGTGCCTCGTCATCGTCAGGCAACTCGGTCTCGCCGCTGTACGGCGCACTGGACCGCTTCGCCCAATTTTTTGTCTCCCCTCTGTTCTTGGAATCGACATTGGACCGTGAATTGAGAGCGGTGGATTCGGAGAACAAGAAGAATCTGCAGAGCGATGTCTGGCGCCTTATGCAGCTCAACAAGACCCTTTCTAATCCCCGCCATCCTTACCATCACTTCTCAACCGGTAACCTGCAGACCTTGAGAGACGAGCCGCAGAAACGCGGCATTGATGTCCGGAGCGAGTTCATCAAATTCTACGAGAAACATTACTCGGCAAACCGCATGAAGTTGGTGGTCTTGGGGCGGGAATCGCTGGATGAGCTGGAGCGATGGGTGGTCGAACTGTTCTCGGAGGTGAAAAACAAGGATCTTCCTCAAAATCGGTGGGACGATGTCCAGCCCTTCTCTCCCGACAGCTTGTGCACGCAGGTCTTCGCGAAGCCCGTCATGGATTCGCGATCGATGGACATTTATTTCCCGTTCCTCGACGAGGAAAACTTGTACGAATCGCATCCCAGTCGGTACATAAGCCATCTGATCGGACACGAAGGCCCGGGCAGCATCCTGGCGTATATCAAGGCAAAGGGCTGGGCAAACGGGCTGTCTGCTGGTGCCATGCCCATCTGCCCCGGCTCTGCGTTCTTCACCATTTCCGTTCGTCTGACCGAGGATGGGTTGCAGCAGTACCGTGAAGTGGTCAAGGTGATTTTCCAGTATATCGCCATGATCAAGGAGCGGCCACCCGAACAGTGGATCTTTGACGAGATGAAGACTCTGGCCGAAGTCGATTTCCGGTTCAAGCAGAAATCCCCTGCTTCTCGGTTTACGAGCCGTCTGAGCAGCGTTATGCAGAAGCCTCTCCCCCGAGAGTGGTTGCTGAGTGGCAATGATTTGTTACGAAAATTCGACCCAGAAGCAATCAAGAATGCTCTGTCATACCTTCGTGCCGACAATTTCCGGCTCATGATAGTATCCCAAAACTTCCCTGGAAACTGGGACTCCAAAGAGAAGTGGTATGGAACCGAATATAAGGTTGAAAAGATTCCCGAGGACTTCCTATCAGACATTCGCGACGCTTTGGCAACCTCTCCCGAGTCACGCATTCCTGATCTGCATATGCCACACAAGAACGAGTTCATTCCAACGAGACTGTCTGTTGAGAAGAAGGAAGTCCCGCAGCCCGCCAAGACGCCGAAACTCATCCGCCATGACGACCATGTCCGCCTCTGGTTCAAAAAGGACGATCGCTTCTGGGTCCCCAAGGCGACGGTCCATGTCACCCTGCGGAATCCGCTGGTCTGGGCCACGCCAGCCAACCATGTGAAAGCGAAGCTCTACTGTGAACTTGTGCGAGATGCCTTGGTTGAGTACTCCTACGACGCCGAGCTTGCCGGTTTGGACTACAATCTCTCGGCGAGCGTCTTTGGCTTGGATGTGTCCGTAGGCGGATACAACGACAAGATGTCGGTGCTTCTGGAAAAGGTGCTGACCACGATGCGTGATCTGGTGATCAGTCCGGATCGCTTCAAGATCATCAAAGAGCGCCTGACTAGAGCGTACCGTAATGCGGAGTACCAGCAGCCCTACTACCAAGTCGGGGATCTGACACGATATCTGACTGCGGAGAAGACATGGATCAACGAGCAGTATGCTGCGGAACTGGAGCATATCGAGGCAGAGGATGTTTCCGCGTTCTTCCCTCAGCTTCTGCAGCAAAATCACATTGAAATTCTGGCCCATGGAAATCTGTACAAGGAGGATGCCCTGATGATGACGGATATCGTCGAGTCCGTGTTCCGCAGTCGTCCTCTCCCACAGTCCCAGTGGCATGTGCGGCGAAACGTCATCTTCCCGCCTGGGAGCAATTACATTTACGAGCGGACGTTGAAAGACCCCGAAAACGTCAACAACTGCATTGAATACTATCTCTTCCTTGGAAATATCACGGACAATGTGCTTCGTGCGAAGCTTTTATTGTTTGCACAGATGACTGAGGAACCTGCATTTGACCAGCTCCGGAGCAAAGAACAGCTGGGATACGTTGTCTGGAGCGGTGCGCGATATTCTGCCACCACGACGGGTTACCGCGTCATTATCCAGAGCGAGCGAACTGCGGACTATCTGGAAGCTCGTATCGATGCATTCCTGAGTGCCTTTGGCGAGACACTGCAAACCATGACCGAGGAAGAGTTCGAGGGCCACAAGCGCAGTATCATTAACAAGAGATTGGAAAAACTGAAGAATTTGGGTTCCGAGACCTCTCGGTTCTGGTCGCATATAGGCTCAGAGTACTTTGACTTTGTGCAGCATGAGATAGACGCTGCGACAATCAGGACCTTGACCAAGCCGGAGCTCATCGAGTTCTACCGGCAATACATCGATCCTGCATCTCCGACCCGTGCCAAGATTTCCATTCATTTGAATGCACAGTCCGGCGATCCTGCTAAGAAGCCACTGGATCCTGCAGACCAGAGATCTACGCTCTTATCTGCTCTGGAAGGGATTTTCAATTCTGAGGCCATTGCAATGGACACGGAGAAGCTAGCAGCTACCATCAAACAGGTTGATTTATCTGCCAGCGACCACGACAATGTCTTAGCCGCTGTCCGGCCTCTACTCGTCTCTGACCTACAGCTCCCTGACGATCGGGTGCAGCCTCTCCTTGAGCGAATCAGGCACACTCTGGAATCGCACTCGAAGCGACAGGGCTTGGCTGAAGTAAAGGCCGAGGGCGCGGCTAGCAAACACCGCCAGAAGATCAACGGTGTCAATGGTGTTGGCCAGAAACAGCCAATCTATATCACCAATGTCGCTGAATTCAAGGCCCGTCTGCCTGTGAGCGCTGGGCCTTCGCCAGTAACCGATCTCAGTGAGTTCGAGGACTTTGAGCCGAAATTGTGAGACATGATGTCTCGTAATCTTGCGGCACTCATCCCGCCTGCCGCTTCAGAAAAGATTATTGCGACTACCGTGTCGATACGGTGCGCCGACTGATATCGATGACATCTCACGTGCGATCTATGAACCCGATTTACATTAGAGCTTGCATTACTGTTTGAGTAGCAATACATGTACTGTACGGTGTACTGGGGATGGGGTTGAGGAGCATTAGAGTGATAGGCGCCGACTTGGTTGTAGACTACTGTCGTGATCTGTAAATATAGATCGTGTTTGGTAGACAGTAGAATAGCTTTTTGGATTAAAGGAATAAAATATGATTGTTGCTACGGTTTATCGGTTTGAAATCAAATCTGCATGATCGAGATTCTCACTCGGAGGTGTCTGTCTTGGCGCGGCCGAATGTTTTCGCGGAGCTTCTCGCTCACCTCCATCCCAGCTCGACAAAGCAAGTCGATCTCCGCCACAGCTTCCTCAATCTCTACCCTTCTTGTACGGGCCTGGTCGCCTCTCCCATCAGAGCAGACCTACTCCTTCTTTGAATTCTCTTCCTACGAAGAATTGCCCAAGATGTCGACAATTACAGAAACTGCGATGCAAAGCTCCAGGCCGTAAGTCGATGCACACCAAGCTCCATGACGCGACAGCGCGCAGGGAGCTTTTATCCTAATATTCTCTGGCCTTATACTTTAAATATTTCAATTTCTTCGAAATTATAGGTTGGCTAATATTTGTGTCTTTTATTTCTGTAGGCCCATCATCCCCAAGGACTTCTGCGCCAAGCAACCCGAGACGATTCGCCTGTATCCTCTTTCGAATTACACCTTTGGCACCAAGGAGACCCAACCTGAGGAAGACCCGTCCGTCCTGGCCCGTCTAAAGCGTCTGGAAGAACACTACGAGAAGTATGGCATGCGACGGACCTGTGAAGGCGTGCTTGTCTGCCACGAACACAATCACCCGCACGTTCTGATGTTGCAGATCGCCAACGCTTTCTTCAAACTGTATGGCGCAATTTCGTTCGGTGGACTATTTTTCTATGTGAAACAACTGGCTGACGTGCTTCAGACCGGGTGACTATCTCCGCCCTGACGATGACGAAATCGAAGGCTTCAAGGCACGTCTGAACGAGCGCCTTGCTCCTGTTGGATCGCAATTCTCCGGTGAGGGCGTCAATGAGGACTGGGAAATCGGCGACACGCTTGCGCAGTGGTGGCGGCCCAATTTCGAGACTTTCATGTATCCTTTCCTACCGGGACACGTCACGAGGCCGAAGGAGTGCAAGAAACTATACTTTATTCAGCTTCCGAAGAAGAGTGCGTGAATTCCCATTGTCGAAACTTACTCGTGTCAGCTTTCCTATACTAATGTCCTTCAAAAGAGGTTCTCTCCGTGCCCAAAAACATGAAGCTCCTCGCAGTTCCCCTCTTCGAACTTTACGACAACACAGCCCGATACGGCCCTCAGCTCTCGGCGATTCCTCACCTCTTGTCCCGATACAACTTTGAGTTCGTTGACGAGAACGACAATGTTGTCGCGGTGACACCAGGCACTCCGTGCCCAGGGATCGACGCGCTACGGACAAAGGTGCTCACCGGTGGAGGGGAAACTGCTGGAGAAGGGCAGGATACTGGAATGGAGGATTACAAAGAGGGCGCAGGCGAAAATGGCAGCCAGGCTTGAATGCTCCAGCTTGCACCCGCGTCGGGAACACGCTGGATGCAATCCCACCTTTCACTTTATTTTTCTCTTCCGTCACCCATACATATCTCTTTATTAAATGCACTCTGAGAGATTTTTGTGGGCAGATTTCTTTTTCTTTTTTTTTTTTAAGACTCAGGAATTTCCGGTCTGATATCACATTGCATGAGGGGAAAGGTGATACTTTCGATTAATGAGGAAGGCAGATACACGGCTTCCGTTTTTGTACTCAATGGATGATACGGGCGTTAGGAGCAGGGAATTGCATTTGAATTTTTTTTTCCTTTTTCACTTTAATTTCATTTTAGAATCCAGTTACACTTACCTGAATTTCTGCCAAAAGAGTAATGGTCCTATGGGAGGCACGTGATGCCAAGGATCTTTCCATTGTTGCATCTCGCATGACCATCGAGATCTCTCCACAGATCAGATGCAAGCATCCATCGATTACAGTTAGTACATCGATTGGTGTACTGTACTGTATCTAACTACTACTATTCATCAGATGTTTTGAGGGATTGCATTTACCAAATCAATTCTTCTCCATGAGAGAAACCACCATGACGTGAAGATTAAAAACCAATAAATAAATAACACTGCTACGAAGGAATGAATGTACTACATATGTATCGAGCTGGATTTCAAGCTTAGATATATTGCCGCGAGAACCGGCATTACATCCATCCATGGTGAACAGGGGCCCCGCGTCGCGATCTAAGCAAGGTACGTTTTTTTTGTACATTGATACCCCCAAGATACATGATGGATTTATTTTGCAAAACAATTATGTACTGATTTGTGTTCTAGCATGGTATATCTCCCCTGCTTAATCATATACACTTCTGTCGATAGACTAGCGATAGGCCATATATGTGTCCCTGTGCTTGCTTTGTTGATTATTTGCTGTTGTTGATACTGATGAGGGAAAACATGGCAATACAGCGGACAATGCAGAGCACGGCATTTGAAATGTAAGAAAAGAAAGATCGAGTTGCATTATTATTTCGAGTCTATTTATTTTATAATGAAGAAATGTTACTAAAAAATTGATGTCGACAGGCGATGGCAACCGCCCATGCAATGGGTGCCGGAAACGAGGAGTCGATTGCGCATATGCGGAGCTTCCGACCTTTCTTGCAACGAGAGGTGAGCCGGCTTGCTGTATGTGAATATAGTTGAAGCCGCTGTTCTAATGATGCTTCTAACAGAGTGGAATCCTGTCGAAGCTGGATATGTGTCTAGGGATCTTGAGACGTCGGAAGATGCTGCAGCGACAACAGATCGGAGTCGAGGTATGTAGAGTACAATATACTCAGTTGTTCGTTTCTGTAGTACAGCTGTTGATGCGAGTGCTCTACAGGACCCATGTCTATATCCTTTGTGAATGAAACTCACAGGATCGAAAGCAACTACACGATCATCTCGGCAGACGAGCATACGCCTGATACTGCCAGCTCATCTGCGTCATTATCTCATCACACTCCTAACTATTCCAGCCTCCAGCATAGTCCCCCTATAGTGGTATCCTCAGATCTCTCTCCGCATGGTGGACCGCAACCGCAACCGCAACCGCAGACAGTTGCGCCGTTCCCCTTAGTCAATCCCATCACATCTCCCCCTGATGCCTTTTTTATGAACCGATACTGCACTGTCATTGGGCCGTGGTTCGACCTGTTCGATTTCCGGAGGCGGTTCTCGCTCGAGGTCCCGCATCTGGCGTTGCAGAATCGCCTACTCCTTCTCTCCGCGATGGCCTGCGCTGCCAGACAACACCATCTAACCTCCGCCCAGCCGGTCAAGACGGCGCTGACATACTACGACGAGGCCCTGCAATTGCTGGGGGTCTCGTTGAAGGACTTTTCACGGTCGTCGTCAGCTGCGGTGTTTGCATCCTGCTTACTGCTTGCTCACTGCGAGATGATTGGCGCCAGCACCCGGGACTGGCATCTCCATCTTTCAGGAGCTCTGTCGCTCGTGACGACCCATGGCTGGCACAGGTGCACAGCCGGACTGGGACAAGCTTGTCTCTGGTACGTGACTTTGCGGGCCCAGATCCGCTACAATTACATCTGTTAACGACTACATAGGATCTACTATCGAATGGATATTCTGTCCTCCCTTGCAACCGCAGAGAGTACCAGGCTTCAGACCAATTTCTGGGATACTGCAGGCGACGGAGTCAGCTGGACCATTGAGTCGTGGTCGAATCACGCCGTGCTTCTACTAGCAGAGGTGCACAACCTGCTCTGTGACGTGCGAGAAGG